CTCCCAAGTATCAATAAAATTTGAAAAGCAATAAAAGTCAACTTGCTTTTATAGCAAAGAGCACGAAAGCTTCATCAAGTCCAAGCTCTGACTGACAGTTGCCTGCCTAGCTGCGTCTGAAATTCAGCTTGACCTTTTTTTGTCTTTGGAGGAGGATGGGGCAGCGATGGGAGAATCTCGGTTGTGCTGAACATGCCAAGAGCTGAGCAGGCACCAGGAGTAACTACAAGCACGCTGGAGCAGATGGGCACGTATTCACAGGAGCACAAAAGATGCAACAGTCTATTTCATCAAATAAAATGCAAAATAAAAAAACCCAAGTGTGGCTTCTGGATGTCTCCCATTCAACTTCCACCATTCCTCCTCCTTTTTCCACCTGTCTTGATCCTCCTCCACACCATGAATAGAAGCACTATGGACCCAATGCAAATGGCCCACAACCAACAATGCAAACCCCTGGCTCGGGTTAAAGAGCACCAGCTGGGCTGTGTGCTGCTCAGCATTAGCTTCTGCTTCCAAAGGAGCTTCTCCTTTCTAAAGGATGCAGAAGTGCCCAGCCTAGACTGCACACTTACAGTGGCACTGTAAAGACTGGCTTTTTAAAATACCCATGAATTTTACATTAATATTTTTGAAATACTAACTCCCAAACTCTAGGAAAGGGGTAGATGGGTGTTATATCAACCAACACTAGTTCCAGCTATGCTAAACAAGTTCCAATGAATGACATGGATACATTGAACCACCTGGAAATGGAGCAGATTGGTCAAACCTCCCATTTGAAGACATGCTACAGAACACCAGAATGCTGCAGAATTTCTCCTTCCAGAGAAGCTGTGGCTGCCCCATCCCTGGCAGTGCTCAAGGCCAGGCTGGACACAGGGGCTTGGAGCAAACTGCTCTAGTGGAAGGGGTCCCTGCCCATGGCAGGGGCTGGAGCTGGATGAGCTTTAAGGTCCCTTCCAACACAATCCAGTCGGGGATTCTAAGACACCAACACACCAGTTCCAGGGGATCAGCAGGAGGATACTTCCTGTGCATACACCTTGTGCAGTCCCTCCAGCAGAAGGCTGCAACGCCATGTGTTATTTTCCATTGTAAAGTTCTAGTCAGGGAGATAAGAGATGCATCACAAGGAACCTTTCCCTGCACGCTACTCAGGAGTTCCGTATTGTAACACACAGGCTGCTTCCGAACAACGTTTCTGAAGTTCCCCACCAAACATGTTTAAAGAACAGTTTCTAGAATGAAATCGTCACTGCTGGATTTGAAACAACAGTTGCTGGGTTTGGAACAGCTGTACCAAATCCAGAGATTGCTTCTGCATATAATTCAAGGGTTGTTGTATATGGGATTTCCAAGGGTTTGTAACTTCTACACAGGAAATTACAACACATCGTTCCAGCCCACAGGCATTTTGGTGGATAAATTCAATCATCTTTTAAGACAGAAAAGTACAATTAACGATAATGGCTGCTTTGGGCACTACTGCAATAAAACTAAATGTGTGATTAGGAAAGCAGCAGCAACAACGCTGAGCTTAAAGCCTGTTCTGAGAGGGAGCATCACGCTCAAAACGTACATTATACAAAAGCAAGCACTGCTCCTGTGTTTCGGGAGGGTTATGCTCTGCTGTGATGGTTGCAGTGACAGTATTGCCAAGATTTAGAAAATGAGAAATGAAATAGAAATTAAGTATATTAGCACAGGCCTTTAATGGGCAAAGCAGTTGCACCAGTTTGGCTTGGCTATACCACAGCAACAAATACAACCACAGTGATCGAGGAGTTCTCCAGTGTAGATAAGTCTGCACCCCAAAGACAGCTCCAATACGCTAGTAGATGAGTAAATATTACTGAAAAATAAATGTTACGAGTTTAAGTAGGCAAAATCTTTTGGGGTTTTATTTTTGGATGAAGCTACCAATGAAAACTGTGACTGCTCTCAGTGTCCTGCTAAAATCCACCCATTCCAACTTTAAAATGGCAATGTTTTGCTGACAAACAACACTAGAAGCCAAGTGCATTCGCTGGTGGTGCCAATGTCCACAACATAAAAATCCACTTTTTTAAATGAAAGTCTTCACAGCAACACAATAAAGAGTAGACAGGCCTTCAACTGGTTATAGCAATGCAAGTGTGTAACATCCTTTGCAGTTATTGTGAGTAGAGATGAAAAAGAACAGATATATCTGAAGTCACCAAAAGTTATAAAAACATTGCCTACAAAGGTATGACGCTGCTGTAGCAATACATAAACATGGGCCTTTTTTGACAGAAGCTCGAGTCAGGTCAGGCTCTCATGATCGCAGAATCCCAGACTGGTTTGGGTTGGAAGGGACCTTAAAGCTCCTCCAGCTCCAACCCCTGCCACGGGCAGGGACACCTTCCACTAGAGCAGCTTGCTCCAAGCCCCTGTGTCCAACCTGCCCTTGAACACTGCCAGGGATGGGGCAGCCACAGCTTCTCTGGGCACCCTGTGCCAGCGCCTCAGCACCCTCCCAGGGAAGAGCTTCTGCCTAAGAGCTCAGCTCAGTCTCCCCTCGGGCAGGTTAAAGCCATTCCCCTTGGCCTGTCCCTACATCCCTTGTCCAAAGCCCCTCTCCAGGTTTGCTGCAGCCCCTTTAGACACCGGAGCTGCTCTCAGGTCTCGCCGGAGCCTTCTCCAGGCTGAACACCCCGACAAAGTGCCACGACGGTGCCACTGGCTCTGAGGCACTGCACATCACGCAACACACGGCCATGGGTGTCGAGGCGCCGCCGAAGCCCGGGGCTGACACCGCGAGCGGAGGCCCCGCTGCAGCCGAGCGCCCCACGGGTGACCACGTGCGGCGGGCCACGGACAAGGCCCCGCTGCGGCCCACACGGGTACCCGGCGCCGGGCACTGATGGTCGCGGCCAGGGGACCCCAGGGAGGCCGCGGGGGCAGCGGGTCAGGTCCGCGTTGGCCTGGCCTCCAGCCGGGCGGAGCTGCGGAGAGCCGGGCGGGGCGGTGACCGCTCCCCGGCCCGACCCCGGTGCGGAGGGGCGGCGGCAGCGCCTCACCTTTGACGTCCCCCGCCAGAGCCCGCCAGGTGGGGGCGAAGGCGACGCAGTGGCCGCAGGACGAGCTGTAGAACTGCACCAGCCACGCGGCCGAGGAGTTGAGCAGCGCCCGGCGCACCGAGCCGGCCGTCAGCACGGTGAGCGGGTCCTGCCCCGCGCGGTACAACCGCGCCGCCGCCGCCGCCAGCAGCACCGCCAGCACCGCCACCGGCCCGCCGCCGCCCGCCGCCATGTTGGGACGCCAGCGGCGAGGGGCGGGGCGGGGCCGCGCCATAGCAACGCGCCGGACCTGGCGACGCGGCCTAGTGCCGGCTGCGGCCCGGCCCCCTCGGCCCTCCCCGCCCCGGCGGCCCGCAGCGCCGGGGGGGGGCCCGGTGCCGTCACCCCGGGAGGCGGCGGGGTCGCTTGGAGCGTTACCAGACCCCGGTGACAGAGGCGCACCGCAAATGAACCCTGAGCCGCTGCGTTCTGAGCCGCGTTTGCCTCAGGGAAAAGCCAACCGAGGCTCAAACAATAAGATAGGTTGGTGGCCGATTTTGTGGGCAGTCTGCTGTAGGAACAGAAGCTTCAACTTCACAGAGCTGCTCGCTGAGAGGAGATTAAAACAGTGCAGCCGTGGGTCAAGAAGTGTTTCGTCCTGAAGTGCCTCACCTCGTGGGGAAGAGCCGCTTCCCCCCAGAACTGAAGGAGCAATGAAAGGCTGCGCACGGGAGCTCTCAAGAGGATGTAAGAAACGATGTCCTTTTAGCAAGTTCAGAGTGGTTGAGCACTAACAATGGATTTTACCACCTTTCATAGCTGCAGCCACAGTGTGAAAGTCTCCTTTCGTTTGTAAGTTCAGGCTCAAGAAATTTCATTACATTAACAGCAGAAACCAACAGAAAATGTCCAAGGATGGAGAATTCGGAGGAGTCTAAAACTGAGACAGTGAAAGAGCAAGGCCCCTGAAAAGATAATTCTTGTTTCTGTAACTCACAAATGCTTCTTTTAATCCTTCAAGAGCAGCTAGGAAACAAATGGCTCCAGATTCTTACAGTATAAATACAGAGCTTAGAATCTGATCTATCATTTTTTTTCTGGCCAGTAACACACAGACAGTACAAGGATGGGTTTCTTCTATACAATAAAAATGTTCTCCTTTGGCAACCAAGGAACAGATTTTGCCACCTTTGCCTTTTCCTTTCCCAATCCTCTCTTTTCTTCACCATTAACATCTGAAGCAGCTCAGTCACCTTCTGCATCCATACCCACAGCTATAAGTTATGTGGTTGCTTGTAGTACATCCCAGCCGAGGGTTTTCTCCTGTCTCTTTTTCCCTGGCACTGTACGCCACAAAATGAGCTGGTTACAGTGGCAGAGTCCAACCACTTCAAAGAACTCAGAAATCCTGTGGCAGCTGCTAATTAGGATGTTCAGAACCTGCAGCGCCCAAGAAAGATACCTGAGAGTGCATTTTATTCAGAAGAGTTGTTAAATGGATGAAGATGAAAGAGATGGATTACAGGAAAATTAAATGTAGGGTTTAACTGAGAAATAATCATTTTCTATGAAAGATAATGACTCCTCTTGAGGCTGGTATCAAGATTTATTGACCCAGGAGGTTAATATTGATCAAAACCAAGGCAAACAAAATATTAGACCTTGAAGGAGAGTAATCTTGATATTGAAGTCTTGCCACTGACTGAACAGGTCGATATATCTGGGTGCCAGAAGCTGAGGTTTTGAACACAGAATGGTGGGGATATTAAACATGTCTGACATGTCTTGTGTATACGCTTTTTATTCTCATCAGCAGGAGTTACTTTATAGCTCTGTCCTTCTGTATACAGCATCTTGCAAGGGTTCAGGCTTCACTCACAAACCTAATTGCAAATATAATGGTTATCTTCCTCAAGTGTAACATATAGCGTAGCATAAGGCATCAGTCTGAAATGGAATGAGTCCTTCAGCTACTCATTCACATACATAAGTGGTATTTTTAATAGCTTTCATTCCAAATACAACAAGGATCCTGCTGCTGCTGCAAAACCATAGTGACAGTAAACTGAAAAACTGCAGTGCTTCAATATATGGATTTGTCATTGTATCCCACAATTTGTCTGTAAGTCCAGGAGGAAAAAAATTGAGTTAAATCCTACTGTAAACTGACAACAAGAAAACATTATTATTGGAACAAATAACTTATCTGGATTAATTCGTCAATGAGGATAAGAGTCAGAGTGTTAAGAAAAGGTACCACAAGGGACATGAAAATAGTTGATAGAAGATCAACAGTTAAGGCACTGGGGGCAGCGAGCCGGAGCTGTCTGCAAAACAACAAAACCACTCCCATTCACCACTGAGAACAGCAGAGCATACACTATGGCCTGCAATTCCACTTGATTTCAGTACTAACAAATAAAAGTGAGATTTTGGGGGGGTATTTTGTTTATTCAGAAAACAAACAGTTCAGTAGGAAAACTTAAGCCATCAGTATTTAAAAATAGAAACATGGAATGTATTTCTGTTTTCCTCACAAAACCTATATTGTAAATATTGTGATTTTAAATAGGAGTTTATATATGGCTTATCTGTAATTGTCCTGCTTTTCATTTCATTTGAAAGACACCCTGAATGTTGATATTTTTCTATTTTTGCCAAAACAAAAGAATAGGATTATTGATTTCCTCTGGTTTGCCCAGTAAAGCACATCCTTCAGCAGCCCATGTTTAGATGTAAGATTCAAAGGGCTCACGTGAATTGTATGATAAATAACCTAACCACAGGCACATATTTAATTTTCAGAAATTGGAGTTACTGATAGAAAAATATCCCCTTTAAAGAGCATTACATCAGGGTTTGTCTCATCTGCATAAAGTTGTAGATATTAAAAATGAATGTCTGGCTCTAGATCCTGCCAGGACAAGATCATTCCATATGCCACATCTCTGAAGCCATCTCCGGGTTCCTTTTAACCAGTTCCATAGTGTATAAGAACATATAAAAATGATGCAGTGACATTTAACTCTGCTGTGCCCATCAGGAAAAGCTTTAGGCTTGTTCCAGTTAGAGGAGTTTATTCCAAACTGCAGAGGCACACAGCAATTCTGTTTCTAGGAGATTTAATTCTGTTTGCACATTTGTATTCTTAAGAGTCACTTATGATTATCTGAACATTATTTTCACAGTATTATTCACCTGTCATCACTCATAGCCTGAACATGATAACAAAGAATAGGATAATTTACACATAAATTGGGTTCGAACCCTGTTTGTAGAGACTTGGACACAATTTTAACACATGTTGTGCTCTTAAAACACACAAGTGAATAAAGTGCTGTCTTGACCAAAAAAAACCCAGACAAGAATAAAACTTCCACCCTTTAGATTCTGTGTGACATCAAAGGTGAGCATTACCTTAATAAGCATTTCCAAACCACACATGAACACACAGATTAGGTCAATATCCCACTGGTATTTGGTACAAGTTCAGAACTAAAATTCTGAAATCATGCCTAAAAAATTCCTTGCCTGAAAAAAAGAAATATTTTAAAAATCAGAGATTAAAAATCCTTAAAAGTCTTTTAGGGAATCCTTAGAATTACAGGCTCTTCTCAGATAGATCTTGTTAAGAACTCTTATTGTATCGAGGATCAAGCTATCAGATATGTCTTCGATCATTCTCATCTTCACAGTTAATTCATCATCCTTGTAGTAAGTCCATTGAGATTCTTCTTTGCAGAGTTCCTGAATCTAAGATACAATTTTATTTCAGAGATTTTAATTGTTTATAATACTTCAAGAATAAGAGCATGGTCTGTTCTGAGAGGTACCAAGACATTGTACCTAATCCAAGAACTTTAGATACGCATCACTGATTTAATGTATTTCATCTGAACCACTCACAAGGACTGGAAGTACTGGATTATTATTGCAAGTGTACTGAAAAAGAAGTTCTGAAGTTATTCTGAGTGCACACGACTCTCACAAAAGCATGAGATTTTTTAGCTTAAACCTAGGGAAAATCAAAACGAATCTGCGGTTGGAATTCGCTTACCAGAATAAGGTCCACTCTGTCTCTCTTACAGTTGCCATACTTGGCCATATTAAGGAATTTGATTTTCATTTATAAGTCATTCTTTTTCAGGCTCATTATTTTAAAAAATTCACCCTGAACAAACGTCTACAAAATAAAAGAGGCTGAAAAGAATTCTTCCCATAGGAATTCTGTCACTGAGAAGGCTGCTAGGGTGCCAGTGTGAAGATTCAGCTTTAGATCTAGAAACATCCCAGAGTTTAGGGGACTGATTCAGAAGTAGCTGATCAATATTGGGCAACCAACATGCTTTAGATGTAAGATTACTTTAAAGGTTACGCCCAACATAGTCATAATCAGGGAGATTCAGAAGCCCCTTTCCCATTCTGTAGAACTCTGTACACTTTAATCAGCTCGGTCTGTATTTATAAGCATTTCAGAGCAATGCTGTTTTCTTCTCTAATCACCTCAGTTACACTGCCGTAATCCTCCCACATTTCACACTCTCTTTTTGCCATGACAATTATCTGCTCTCCTCCCTGACTCTTGTTATTGTACACTTTGTGTTTCCAGAATGTACCTTGACAACACTGACATCCGTTCTTCTGCAAAGATGCCTGGAACTTTCTCTCATCCACGGAAATGCATTTGGATTTGCAATCACTTGATATTCTGCACATGGCAACTCACGGGTCAAATCAAATATAACCTGCAACAACAGAACCACAGTACCAGCATAAACCAGATCCCTCACTGATGCCCTTTCAGAGGTTTCTCAGCCCTTCTGAAGGATGTTAGGCTGGTGACAGTAGAGGTTTGCATCTTGGTGCAAAATACCCTAACATCGCCTGCATCACTGATGTTCCTATGCTGATCATTGCCTAAAGAGCACATCATCCTGTACAGCAGGGATTGGACAGTAATGTGTGAGCACTCGCTAAGTGTGGCGCTGATGGGGGCCTTTAGTCTCCTTGTGTAGGCAGAGGTCTGCAGAACTCAGTAGTTCCAGGATGCTGAGGAACACGAAGATCTGTTCAAACTCAGCAGGACCATCTGAGGTACATCCTTTAATTTGCAGCTTTCCAAGAAGCTTGGAACTTTCTGAACAGACCCCAAACAGATGCTGGGCTATGTGTCCAGGGAATTACAATTGAAAAGCTCTAGCAAAAGGCATCTATCACAGCAAGGACATCCATTTTAGTGGAACTATTTTGCAGCAAATTACCCAGAAGCAGTACTTTGCAATACCTTTCATGCTCTTTTAGCTATATTTAGTGTTAACAGCTAGAATAATATGAAGTACTAGCTAATATGAGTCAGTGTACAGAACACTGGGTGAGTTGAGTAACAGTTACTGCTTTAAAAATACCTGATTATACATCCTCTTGCTTTCTGTTTCAAAATCGTTCCCTGGGAGATCATTACATTCAAAGTACTTTGGCACATTGATCCTTCTGAAATCTGAATATATGTTTTCTGGGGTCCATAATTCTTCTACAGCACATGCAGACAATTCCTTAACATAAGAACTGTAATGTGGTATCGCAAGAGGAACTTCCACAGTTTCCTTCCAAGGAGCTGAGTGCCACTGATCTAATTTGTACAAGTACTGCTTTTGTGTCTCACCAGCGTATGTTGGTGAGAGGAACAGGTCAGATTAAGTCAGCCATCTGGTCGCAAATGCTGACATGATTTTTATGGATGTGGAAAACGACACAAATGCTTGTCTGTGCAGACAAAATTTCAGGTCCAGGACTTTAGACAAAAAAACTCACTGTACTTACTGGCAAAGTGGTTGGAGAAGCCTCTGGAGATAAGGGAAATACATTGTCTACTTTTGAGCCTTGTTTTCTCTTAATCTTATATTCTTTAACTGCATCACCTACAAATTTAGTTGCAATTCTCTCTGCTACTGTGTGACAACCATAAACACTGCGTATGTCGGAGTCACACAGCAAGACATCAGAAACCTTTGCTGATGGTTCAGATAAGAAAGAAACTGAGTTTTCTTTAAGGAGAAACAATTTCTGAGAGTCTTCTTGTCTTAGGTCTTTTGCAAAGGCACTTTTATATTTGTGCTGAACTGGTTCAGAAAATACAATTAAAATGTCAAGAAGTTTTGTACCAGATTCACTTGCAATATCACCAACAAGTTTATTCCTTTTCCGATCCTCTACCAAGCGACAGATATTTTTGCTTGTGTTTCCCTCATCTGTGTTACCAGTCTTACTTTCCATTGGAGTCACATTTGCAAGGGTCCTTTGCTTTATTTGTGTTGGTTCTGGTTTTTCTGTATCTGATCCCAAGCACATTAGGTTAATTTGACAGAGGAATTCATCACACTGGTCACAACGTGGAATCTTTTGTTCTTTTCCAGCCATCAAGGCAGTGTGTAACCTGGCCTGGGTTTCTTTCACTTCTGATCCTTCCACACTGTTTGTGTCTTCTGCTTTCTCCTCTGTAAACCCTGCTCTCTGCTCATCACCTTCAGAATATTTGCAGTCTCCTTTGAAGGATTCATCATCATAGAAGGAGTCAGAGTCTTCATCCCCAGTGTAACTGGAATCATTTTCCCTAGCCCCCAACAAGTGGGAGATCTCGTTAGGTCTGACAAAGACACCACAGTGCTGAGCACACTCAAAATACTTCACCCCTTTGTAAGTGCCAGCGTTATCACCTTCAGCTTTGTCAAGTGCAACACCAGCCCAATGGCCACTATCAAAATAAGTCTGTCCTTTGAACATGAGGGTTCCAGGTTGGGTCTGCTTTACTAACACTCTGTCCCCAATTTGAAATGATGACAATGGGTCGGCACTGTTATCCTCAGCTTTGGGCAGTGCTAAGTGTGTTTTGCATTGTTTCCTTGTGAAATCGAAACTTTCCTTGGCCTGACCAGAAGTAGCAGCATTTGACACAGGCAGAAACTCTGAATACTCCATAGGTGTCTCATGTTCTCCTTGTTGGCTTTCTGATAAGCTCTCCTTTGCACCAGAAATACCTTTAACTAAAGATTGCTCTGAGACTGTACCATTCTGTGTTGAAAAAACAGCAGTTGTTTCTTGACTGAGCAGGGGAAATTGCTCAGGCACAGTGTTATCAGGTAATGGGGGCAATGTGTCCATTTTCAGTGATGCATCTTCATCCATACACTCTCTAGTCTCCGAGACTGTCATTTGTTCTGGTGGAGATGGGAGATCATCCATACTCAAGCTAGGAGCATCATTTTTCATTGTATCTGTGCCTAAAGGGGGAGGAGGAAGATCTTCACTTAGAAATGACAAATCCATTTTGTTAGAGGATGGCAAGTCAGCACTTCCATAGGACAATACTTCATCAACAGGAGACAGTATTTCTGACAGGATTTCCTCATCGGTTGGAGGGAGACCCTCATCAGTAATAAAAATTGTATCATCTTCACCTTTGGAAGAGCAGTTCTCAGCTTGAAGCAATTGCTTTCTTGAAGAGACAGAAGAACACAGTCCTTTCCTTTCTTCCTTTATGGCTTGCCTTTCTGTTGTGGAAATACTTTGATTTTCTGTAGCCACCCTTTGCAAAGACTCGAATGAGTTGGTTTCTATATGGACTTCCTCAGAAATTCCAGGCATGGATGTGGACAAGGATACAGTCTGACTGGATTTGCTGGATCCAAGTCTCTTGTTCAAAAGTTGCGCATGCTTATTTTCACCTCCTGAAGCAGATGAGTTTCTTGAAGATAGACATGTCAGTAATTTGTTATTTTCAGTATCTCTGTTGGGTGGAAAAGAGACAGTGTTCCTAAGCTGGTCAGTCACCAAATCTAGATGTCTCGAAGAATCTGTGAGTGGAAACCCCGTTAGGCTTCTATTTTGATCCACAAAGAAACTGTTAATTCCAGCAACCTTTTTCACTCTCCCAGTTGCAGAACTAGGTTTCTGCAGTTCATTGATCTTAGGTGAGTAAATATCATCACTGCATGAGGAGCTGGCAACTGCAGCTTTACCCTGGTTTGTGACCTCCTGGGAACAGGCTTTGTTTCTACTGTAGTTTTCCAAGTCATCCAGATGTGGCTCGTCCATTCCTTTGGCAGGGTTATCAGATTGGGAGGAATGTGCTGAGGCATTTACTTTGTCTAATGCAATGAAAGAAAGCAACTGATCAGTGCAGCCATGATCTGAATCATCTCCAGCGTATTTCTGGGAGCATGATGAAGCCTCAGTGCTGTGCTCTTCAGGCACTTCATATTCAGTGTGTTTGTCACTAAGTAACATTTCCTTTCCATTGCTTCTTGCTATGAGCGGCACTTTTGAAACATCAGGAAATGCATCACTATTGTCACAGACAAACTCGTGTGGGATACTGACAGCTGTGTCCTCTCCATTTTTCAGCTCTGATTCAGCATCTGAACTGGAGCTTTCTGAAATGTCAATCCGAACTGCAGACACTTGCTGAAACTCCAGGAGTGAAGAGTCTGATTTGGCACTTTGACATCCTGAGGAGAAGTTGTTCAACCTGAGTGATGAGTCAGTGGAAGTTAATCCTTCAGAAAATGCTTGTAGTTCTTCATCAGGAGCTTCATGAGAAATATGGTCCAAATGCTTCAAACACTGCCTCCCATCCACCTGCTGGGTCTCATACAGGACAGGCACATCTACTTCTTTAACTGGACCATTCAAGTAAAAAACAAAACAAAATAAAATAAAGCCCATCAGATTTCAGAACAATATTCCTTTGTAGGTTGCTGACAGATAATTTAGGACTCAAATCCTAAGCTAGGCTTGGGAATCTGAGTAACGTGCAGCCTATGCCAAACTTTGATCATCAAGACCGCTGTTTTTAAGTCTGTCTTACACAAATCTGTAGTCTCCCTCACTATGGAGTAAATGCAGAAAGACAGTTCATTAGAAAACTATCACAAATATGAAATATTGTCACAATACGTAAATATTTATAATGAGAGATTATGCATACACAGAGCTATGTAAATGATATAACTGGCTCATATACAAACAGCCAGTTTTATTCATTATATAGCCTACTGAGAGCAAGAAATATGAACCGAGGATAAAACCTGGAAACAAAAATAACTCCAGCATGTCCTGTCAAAGTCTATCTTCAACTGATCTATGCTCTTTTAAAAAGAACAGCCTTAAATTATTGAAAAAAATGCCTCAAAAGAGAGTAAATTGTTAATGACACAATCAGAATAAGTTATGATTTTGTTCTGAGGAAGCAGTATAATCATATCTGATAATAAACCTTTGAGAGATCTCCACCATCTTGCCTAGCAGTGATTTATATATTGGGTAAAGTGAGCAAGACACTCAGGTAATAAATGAGGAGATTGTCTCTCTCTCTGTCTGGATTAAAGTTTGATTGAAGTGGTTGAAACAGATTGGACATAATAGCATTAAATATGATTTACCAGTTCCTTTGAAGAGTATTTTCTGCCTGAACCAGGCATAAGTTACACAAAGTAAAAAGCATCCCCAAGCTTTTCATTGTGAACTTACTGTCACATGGATTAATATCTTCATTGTCTTTAGGATCTATCTTTGGGTTTAAAACAAGTGCCTTTTCCTCCAGCGCAAACTCCTAGAATGTGAATATGTAAGAGACAGAGTTATCTTCTTAAGGGAAAAGGACTCTGCTGGCAGAAAGAATAGTTGAGATCAGAGGTTAAATCTACATGTTTACACTACGATACAAGTTCATATGGACTGCTGGGCATATATATACCTATGTTGTGAGTGCGTCTCTGATGTAGAAAATAGGGAAGGGCCTAACTAGTCTCTGCAGCTGCTATGGGCAGCAGGTTTATTTCTTCCTGGAGCGGCACTGCACCACAGGAGATGGCTTAAGGACACTGTCATCAGTCAATAACATAGAGAAGATGGAAGGGCAGGAAATTTGTTCAGTCTTTAGCTGAAGGTCACACAGTCAACACACAAAACTTTTACTTGATCTTCATAATTGTCAAATGAGCCTGGTGCTGGTCCTATCTTAAGGCAAATGTAACCTTGGGCACCATTTCTTTAGGCAGAAATGGAACTGCAGGGGTGATCCTTACCGGAAATGCACACTTTCTGCCTTCTCTTGTAAATGGTGTGGATACGGCCTCATCCATTCTAGCTGAATCTGCATGTTCCAGAGGTAATAAAACATGATCCTGAGCATTAAGCTCTGAAAGGTACAACATGAAGTTACCATATTTCCAGTCCTGCATTTCTTTTCCAAGAATTACTTGACTGTAGCTTTTTGTTTAGCTCAGTCAAGAAGGTTTAAAGATATTTATAGTTATGTAACTTAGTTTTGCCCTACACACTCCTCATCATACAACAGAAGGCGAAATGAGCAACGACCATATTTATTCAATTATCACCTTGGGTATCATCCAGTTACATGGTAGCAATTCTCAAGCCCACTTCCAGAATTTTCTACACTCTTTCTTTCTTCATCTATGCATGGCTGCTAAGTCAACAACAGGACTTACACCGTTGTGACACCTTCTTGCCAATCCTGAACAGGACCTGGTACCAAACCCCACAATGAAGGTAACCAAGGAACAGACCAACATCACAAGCTCTCTCTCATGTGCTTGCCCTCTTCTGGAAGATCATTTGAACTGCTCCAAAGAACAACTGAGACTTTAACTTTTGCCCTAAATCATGCAGTTTGAATAAGCAGCCACAAACACGGCTGATCTCTACAGAGATCATCTTTATTTGGTACCTGTGGTTTTGCAGTCTTTAAACATAAAGACTGAGCCTGTGGTTTGACCAGAAGCACCACACACTTTCTTGGCCACCGTTTGAGACACATCAGGACCTTGCGCACCAAGGGATGGCTCCAAACCTGGCAACTCCTCTGCCTGCTTCTGGCAGCGTACCAGTGTTCCCTTGCTCTCAGAAGGAAAACTGTAAACAGACAAGGAATTAATGGTTGGGGATTGGTTTTGTGTGTCCAAATCAATCATGATAACTCTATATGAAATCAATGAAGGTATGATAGTACCTGTAGAGTGCTCACAGACACATACGTTTTGAAACCAAAGTCAGAAGCATCCTGAAGAGTGTATTTTTCCTCTCTTTTACCCTCCCTCTCACTTGATGTTGTATTTTACAGAGTCAGGTTTCTAATCTTCATAGACGAGAACAGGAGGAGACTGAAGAAATCATCAGCATTGAAAAGGTAAAACCAGGGTCAAACTCTGAACCTGTTTGCCTCCCCCATTTCCAATCTGTGGTACTGTAGCAGATTATGACAGATCTTGTTAATTTTTCCACGTTAAACATAGCATTGCAACTTTATGGACATTTGGGACATCAGATACTGAACCTGATGGTGACTTTGAACTTTCCAAACAGCCTGCTTACTGCAAAAGCATAAAGCAACACAATTCACACTCACAGGCTTTTCAGTTAGTGGCACAAGTTCTAGGATACACAGTTGAGTGAGTCCAGAAAAAAAGAGTCATCTCCATGTGGGTTGTTGTGGTTTTGGGGATTATCTTTTTTTACTACAATAACAGTTTAGAAAGTTAAATATATTCTTGAATAGATGAAGATCAACAATATGACAGTGGCTAGAAGCTCAATCCTCATTCATTATTTTATTTTTAATGACTATATAGTATTCACCACCACTAGTGTTTAGGGACTTCAAATTAAGTATCCCAATTCAGAAGATGCATTCCCAATTCTTAGCTAAAAGCTTGTTCATTTACAACAATTAAAAGCTTCTGTATTCCTTGCACCACCCATGAACAAAACTAAACCAGCAGCTTTTCCCACATGCTGGTAATTTATTTATTATTTCAGTTTGCTTTAATTTTTAGAAGTATTTACCAGCCCCTTCCAGCCCTGCTTATCAACTGTCTTCCTGATCAGGATATGAACATACCTGTGCTGGTAGATAAATAGTGTAATTACCACTCTGCACTTTTACACAGGGAGGAAATCTATGCACTGTCAGACAGCAGCCAGATTTTGGGTGTATCACGAGTTCTACCAGGCCCCCTCTGCTCTAGACTGATGCGAATATTCAGTGTTCTCCTATGAGCAGGCTTGTCAGTTAACAAGAAGTGAAAGCACAGCCAAGAAACCTTTTAAAGATTTCTGTGACTTGTAATCAATAAACCCATGAATTATTGATCAGTTCTGTGCAGGGATTTATTTGAAAGCCTTTCCCTGTGGGGACTTAAGTAAATGCACAAACCTGACTCACCAGTCTGCTAAAGGTCTGGTGGAAGGGGGTTTCTAATTCATATAGATATGGATTTGTCTTTAACTACTTATTTTATCTTTCTGAAGCAAACTAGATTTTGCTCATCTGAGTCTGCTTTGGAAGACTGCTGTTGTGAGCAGTGTGGGTACTACTGAGCCCTCACCTGCACAGCTCAGCTCCTCCAGCTCAGTGGGAAGCAATGGGGAGTGCTGGGGATGCAGTGCCTGGGGAACAGGAGGCAGTGCTGAACTCTTGAATTACCTCTGGCTCTGGGCATTTTACATGGAACTCCTACACTTCAGTTTAAGCATAAAATTAAGCCCTGTGTAGTACAAAAGCCTTCCGTGATTAAATCCTAAGCAAAACACAAACCTCCTCTGAGGGGTTAAGTGATACATAGGCTCAGCCAGAGGAGACAAAGGAGTGAGCGTATTAAATCAATACATTTCTACTCATTCTGTATGGGTATCCTGAGGTCTAATTAATAGGTAGTTGCAAAGTGTTTTGAGATTTAGTTAAAAAAAAAAATGTGAACTATCATTAGCAGTTGTGTAGCGTCATAAAAAATATTCAGTATTTCATAATTTCATGTTCATAATGCTATGTAAAATAACTTTGTTAGGCTTGATGTCAAAGTTCTGTTTTTTCCTAACATTGCAGAGACAGGTGCCAATCCCACAGACTTAGATAATGCTGCTTAACATTTCATACTGCAGAGAATCCTAGTGAAATATGTTCACCTGCTTGCACAAAAATGCAGAGTTTGAAATGAATACATAAAGCCTGCAAAGATTGGCTTTCTCATAGCCCAGAGGATTGTGACACTGCAAGCAGGAGCATGGAGCCATCTAATGAAAACATAACTGCCTGGGGAGCAAATGTTACTCCAGCTTTTGCACACAGGATTAAACAGTTTGTTGCTCAGTGCAGCCCCTCCCATGTGCAGTGAGCTTATGGGGACGAACCAACAGGGCTTTTTTCAGCATGAAACAGACTTGTCCAACTTCTAACACTAAATCACAGCACTACACATTTGCTTATATGTCTGAATAGACACAGACAGATGCATACCTAGATACAGACTAAATTTCAGGATTAAGGCTCAGATTTGGCTTGTTCTACTGAAGGAGTTGATGTCTGTGACATACAGAAGAACTGAGATCACAGTGTAACTCCCTGTAAACACCAAGAGATTGTGGGGTTTATTTGTTTTCAGATAAAGAAAAATAACACTGATAAATAGTGCAGCTGATGTAAATGCTGAGTTAAACAACTTCCTGATCAAATTCAAGATTTCACTTAAACCACTTTTTTTCCCCCTGCACAGAAGAGGACTTCTCTTTAAAGAGTGGAAAAATCTGAAATAAATACACTATTTGCTGTTGATACATTGAAGTGATGAATGTATCCTGCCTCAGGAATTCAGTGTTGTGAAAAGGATCCACGCACCTTAGTTTACTCGGTGCTGTTCACATCCCCTGCAATAAGCTGGTCCCTGCCCCAAGGAGCTTACCATTTTGAACACCAGATGGTAGGTTGGACATATGGAGGACACAAATAAGCAATAAGGCAATCGGTCAGAATGATAAGCAGGGATCTTGATGCATCAACTGCTTGAACACAAAGGGCTTCAAAACTTATCATTATAAAACTCCCTCTTGGGAGCATTTACGGCTCACACAATTATCTAGGACATAGCTGCCCATCTTCTCCACTGGATTGGTTCTTACCTTCAGCTATTGCTGTGGAGAGGGTTTTACTTACCCCTCATATTTCTTGCTTTGTTTGTTCTTTAGCTGGGCACAACTGTCCCTGTTCCCCAACAGATCAGGCTTTTCTGGGGGGGCCACAGACTCTGCGGAAGAGGAATGTAACTTTGGGCTAGAAATAAGTCTTACTGTCTTCAGCTTTATTTCTTCTTCAGCTGCTGGGCTCCTTGTAAGCTAAAAGGAAAAGGTAATATGTAAGGTTTCACCTGGGTTCCTCAGCTGTACCGTCAGCTCTTCACTTCACTATTCCTCAAAGGACCCACCGAGGCAACTGGTGACTGTGATTTAGTAGCCTCTTCCTTCCCTGCCAAATAATGCAGCTTTTCCTGGAGTTGTGCTGTCAAATGCTGCATCATTAAGATTTCTCTTTGCTGCTTTAGTATTAGTTTTCTTTCCTGGTGTGCCGCCCTGTAGATGTTTTGCAGGTGCTGGATTTCTGCCTATGCAAAGGGAAGAAAGAAAAGAGCATCAGAGCTAAGATAACAACAGAGAGACCCCACTTAACGTGCACAGTATTTCTTCACACAAGGCAATACCACTCTCAAAATACCCAGAGGATTCAATATGCAGGTTTATTCCTTTTTCTGTAAAGGATTTTGTAGTTCTATTCTTCACTAATGCTGACTGGAGGATATCCATGAAAACTAATGGCAAGTAAGGGGATATATTTCACTGCTTGAGAGATGGGGTGTCTGAGAGGCGAGACCTCTGGAAATTGATCATCTTCAGGTCATTCAGAACTATGGAATGCTTGCTGTTCACACAGGAATTCCTTGAGCTAAAGGAGAGGCCTGCACTACATAAGGAGTAGGACAAAGTGTAATTATGAGCCCAGCATTCCTCTCAGGAGCAGAAGAGCTGAAACTATAAGATTAGCTGTCAGATTAACTTAATGTACTTCAACATCAGAAGCCTAAATCTGCACACATCGATGGAATTCTGCATTATATGTTTTTTGTTATGGCACAAACAGAAATAAAAGCACAAAAACAGGGAAAAAAATAGAAAAAGAACTATTGTGTGTACTTCTTTTCTCCAAGATGCACATGCTGCTGACTTGGCCATGACCCCCCTCTCTGAATGTGAGGAGCCAAGCAGAACAATGCACATGAAAAGACCCCAGTGACTGGTTTAGAAAGCAAACCCCACTTGCTCCAGCAGCTCCCGGTGTCGCATCCTCCCACCGGTTAGGAGATGAAACCCAGCTCCTCTTGCTGCAGCCTTACCTGCTCCTGGTTGAGCTCCGTTAGGATTCTGCACTGCTCTGCGGCCATGGCAGAGGCTCCCTCGCTATCCTGCAGGTTTTCCAGACAGCTGGAGGCCAGAGAGGGATGGGATCGCAGTCAGATCATTAAATGCCATCAATTTAACACTCCGCAGAAAGCAGTGCCAGGGACAGCCATGGTGGCTATGGGAGGCTGTGCTAGACGTGGGGACACCCCGCCACGCCGGGGCCATATTGCCAGAAGCAATCCTGAGGCACGCAGGCTTCCCTGAGCGCTCAGTGCTGAGGGGCGCCATGAACCGCACCCCACAGTGCCCCCGGTCAGCGCTGAGGGACGCCTTGCACCGGGGTCTGTCCCCATCCCTGGCAGCACCGATGATGCCCTGTGCCATCAGGGACGGTGCCTCAGCCCGGCCACTGCTGGGGGACATCTTGCCCTCAGGGGGTCTCCCACTGGCCATGATGGCGCCTCAGCCCAGTCAGCTCTGAGGGGAGGCTCACAGCCCATGAGGACGAAGCTGCAACACGGAGCTCCGCTGTGCTCTGGGTTGACTAGAACTGCACAGACTCCTTCCTCCTGCACTTACTCTGTAAGAGAAGGGGTTTATATTTGCTCTTTTCCCCTCAAAGGAAGACAAACCGTCCCGCTGAGCACCCGCCATGGCAGGTCTGTGCTGTCCTGCCCGTGCATCCCCTCACCGTTGCTGGTGTTCCAGCCAGGCCAGCTCGGCCGTGGCTTTCTCCCGGAGAGCTTTCCTGCGGAGCTGGAGGAGGGCAGCCTGGTGCCGAGCTCGCAGCTCCTCTCCCCTCAGGCACTGCTCCGCCATGGCCAAGCTGAAGCGGCAGAAGGTGCTGGAACCTCCATAGTGCCGGGTGACCTCGCTCCGCTGCGGACAGAGCAAGCGCCATCTTTATTGGTGAGGTGAGAGCTTGACACAGGGACTACCAGCAAAACCACCCCAAAACAAGCACCCCGCACAGCCCTGAAGAGCTGCTGTTACCTGGCTGGCAGAGCTGCCCTGTTCGCTGCTCTCTCGGGAGTCATCCCCTGCCAAGGTCTCCCCGTGGTGCAGACTGACCAGAGGTGACGACAGGTTAAAGGCCTGATGGTCGTGCAGCGGCTCCCCGTGCTCTGCCAGCAGGGATCCTGAGGGAAAAGATATTCCTCTGTAACAGAGGACAAAAAAGACACCACGGAACAGCTCCCACAGCAGGAGTTCGCATCCATTCTGGAATTCAAGGAGCCTCTGCAGGGAGCTGGCAGCCAGGCCCATGCGCTGCCCTCAGCAGGACCCTGAGGAACATCTCCCCACAGCTCTTTGCTCAGGAACAAGCTACAGGCATGGACCTTCACTTCCCAGTGAAATCGTGGCAAACAGGTAAAAATTAGAGAGGGTAAGTAATTGGTAGGGTGCATAACAACTTTGACGGTTATTTTCTGTAGACAAGTCAGGACTACAAAGGGAGATCGCTATAGTTTACATGTGCAGAATGAATAGAAGTATTTAGGTCAACCCTTTCAAAATCAAGTTACTGAGCTTTGGGATTCCGTGTTCCAGCCCCTGGATGCTGCACTGTTTCTTGTGCCATGCTAGAAAGTGCTGCTTGCCCAGTACCACCAAATCCTTTAACTTGGCGTTCACCTTCTTGAAGCACTGAGGGGTACAAATCCCTTTCTCCCAGAGGTTTTCTTTCTCCCACTGTTTTGGGATCCACTGGACTGTGGTCTCTTTCAGTCTTCAATGCAGGTGGTTTCAGTGAATGCATCTCTTGCTTACTGAAGGTAAGAAAGGAAATATTTTCTTAGAGCAGTTAGAGGTATGTTTTCAATTCCAGCTTTCATAGTTAAGCTCTCTGTGAAGGCTGAATCTTTTCCAGACCAGAATGGTGCTCATTTTTGTGCAATACTGGAATTTTTACCTGTGCAAAGGCACCTTTCTGGTAATTGCATCTGTAAGGCTCCAAAAGCAATTCTGCAGTCTTTATGCCACTTGAACATAAAAATGCACACATACAATACTGTCATTCACACCAAGGTATATGATGGTAAAGCAAAATGAGGAAAATTGTGTTTTCCCCACAAGTTTCAAAGATAATGTAACAGCCATTACTGTCCTTAAATGACTCAAAACAAACATCTATTTTAGAAACACACTGCAAATGCTTTAGGCCCCCACATCATTCAAGTAGTCAAAGCACAGGCTAAACCATTGCAGTGCCTCATTGTATACTGCCTCCTGTACCTGCCAGCTGTGTCGTCACTTTCTGGTTGATGTCCTCTCTGTGTTGGCTCTGTATGGTCCAATCTTGGCACAAAAGGATAACTGCCCTTGGAGCTACTGCACTCCTGCAAACACAGAAACTGTCTGTAGGCCTGAGTGATCTGTTTGAAAGGCAGAACTTTGAAGCTTTCTTCCCTCATTTTCTTGGGAAAGCTCTTCATTGTAGATAATGCTTTTCATACACCAGTAATTCCTAAAGATTTCATTAACTAATGAGCTGGGTACTACTCATACTGAAAAACCTGTGTGGGCATATGGAAGTAAGGTAGTGTAACAGCTCACAAACTGTCCTGTATTTAGAGCTGCTTTCATGGGAGTCAGGGTACTGCGTTCATCCTAAGGGCTCTTAGGCAAAACCCTAGAGAGATCACTTCTGTCCAACCTGTTCCAACATACTGAGAGACATTAATTGAGCTGAAGTATCTGCCAAAGTAAATACTCCCAAGCATGTAAAGAGAGCTTGGAATTGCACATGAGGTCTGAGCTTGTGCTTACACATATGGGGCTGCATTCTTATTCTAAGAAGTAGACACTGAAGTCCATCAGTCCCCAGCTGACTGCAGAATCTGAGGCTGGAAGGTAAACAAGCTGCAGTACCCAAGTTATGTCAGATCAGCAGTTCAAATGAGAACCTAAGGAACTCTGTTACCTGAGAAACCTGGGCACCTCTGAAAAATTATCCTGACCTACACTTTTTAGTCTTTTGACTGAGGGGGAAAAAAAAAAGCCAACAAACCCCAGTGGGGATTGGGGAAAGATTTTGCTGAAGTCAGAAGTGGCAACACAAGAGCTGAAACAATAACTTACCCCTGAACTGTGCTGAAGCAGGTCATTCAAACACTTCTGGCTCTCTTGAACCTCTAGCTTTGCTTTCTCCCTCAGCACTGTAAGCTGCTGTCTCTGCTGCAGCTGATGAACCTGTGTTAGGAAATGACACACTATAAATGATATTTCCAACAAAGTCAGGTGATTCCCCAGAGCTGGAGAGCAAAGGACAGCAAACTCCAAAAGAAGGCAGCCCTAGCATTGCACAGCAATGTGTTCTTACCCACCAGTGCTAGAGGAGGACCTCCAAATACCAGTTTAAGGCTGGCACCTCCCCATTACAGGTACATGAGCTTTATAAACCTGATGCAGTCAGCTGATGCCAATTGATTATATCCTAAACACATGTGGATTAGGTGAGAGCTAGCACCTTTTTACGTGGGACAGCAGAACTTGCATTGCTCTTTGCTTGTTGCATCAGTTGCTTACTGTACCTTCAGTTTGTGAGCCAGTAGGAGGGAGGTTTGCCTCAAATAGTCCAGGTGGCTCCTGTGTTTCTTTTCCAGTTCTGTGCAGCCAGGGTGTCCCTCGCCTGCAGGAGCTTGGGAAACAGATGGTAACAGTCACCTTCTTAATTTAACAGATCTGTGCTCTGTTTAATGAGTGCTAGCTGGATAAAGTAGCAGAATTAACCAGAGGGAGGCAGTGGAACCAGATTCCTTCAGGCTTCAGTTGCTGCCCTGAAACAGTTTCTATACTGTGCAAGTCCTTTGGAGTTAAAGCATTTGCAAAGTGTTTTGCCAGCAGGGCTGACTTACTGGGTCACCACTGACGCCCATAGACCTTGTAACCAATCTAACAGCATTGTGGTATTTTCAGTGTGGTCCTAGAACACTTCTCAGCACTCTGCTGAATTTCAGGCCTGACTGTACTTCTCAAAACATTCCTGAGTCCTAATACATGGACATAAACAGGCAACCACTGAAAGGGGAAGGGTGGATGTGTACATTGTTCTTAAGTGCATTTTTCTTTTGAATCCTCCCTGGGCCTATTTTTGGAAACCTCCCAAATCTGCCTTTATTCCCAGAATAACTTTCCTGCATGCATTTATTTCTTGTAACATATCTGAAAAAGGAAAATGTCTCTACCTACGTCCTGTCAAGAAATCTGTTAGCGTAAAGTCCTGCAAGTACCGGGGAGAGGGGAAGAGGCAGGACTCAAGAGGGCCTATGTCAGGAACTTGAAGCAGTGGGGAGTAATTCCTGTTCTAAGCCTGAAGTTCAGAGCAGGGGTTATTGCCACTCTTACTATTCCCACTGCTCCTTCACTGCACCAACAAGACCAGGCACACTAGTTACAGAAGAAGAAAAGCTTCTCAACCTGGTCACTTCTTTGGGAGCTCCAGCAGCATCACTGGAACTCCCAAAGCTCCCCTCCATCTTGCAGCTTGTCCCTGTACAGGGTCCCACTGGATTTCTCTCTTTTGTCACAGGGGAAAAGAAACCCATGAAAAAACCTTTCAGTTTAAGTGGAGTAAAGAACTCTTGTTCCGGGTGCTCCTATTTCACTGCTGCTTCTTTATTGTAACTCTCCTGTCTGTCTTTTACAGTACAAGTGATGTAATGTTTACCAGTGATATGTTCTTGGCTGCTTTGAGCTCCTCAGATGAATTGCTAAGCTTATGCAAACAGGTTGCGTGTTTACTCTGTGCTGTGCCACTGTCACAGCAACCAGAGCCATAAATGAATTGAAATGTGGGGTCATAAATAGAAATAGGTTTGACTTGGAAACTTGAGATAAAATCTGTGTCCCCATCCAGATTGTCTGAATTCAAATTACCCCAGGCCTCAGGATAAGCCCATGACAGGCAAGGTTTGAATTTGCAGTAAATACTGAAGGATCTTGAACATGGAAGGAGCAGAGACGTGGGCTTCTTTGCATGCCAGGATGCTTTTTGTTTTTACGTGGATGTAAGTGAAATAAAATGTTAATGCTTTAAGCCTGGTACAGATTTTCTATTAGAATGCTGCTGTGTTTTTATAAACAGCTTGATTGCAAAAGTCACCTCTGACTGTTACCATGGAGCTTTTTCTTAACCCTCTACTTTTCAGAATTAGACTAGATGAAAATCTCATCTTTTTCTTCAGTAATGCATAGCTCCTGGTTCTGGAGGGTTTTTGCAAGGGCAAAATCACAATGAATTACCTAGAAATCATATGCCAAATAAAGAGATCATCCTTTTTAAAAGATCCTTGGGTTTCCTCAATTTTGAGGACTGATTCAGACTTTAATGCATATGCTTACCAGAGATGACTTTGTGACATGGTATATTTAGGAAAATCCTGTGGATGAAAGAGCTGTTGTTTCTGCAGGGAAGTTTTACTGATGGTTTTAAGCAAGGTAATAGAAAAAAGACTAGAAAAAATAGAAAAAAAGTGAAGAGCTCTTCAGTGGGTATGCAGACAGCTCATCACTTTCAAAGCCAGCTGAGGAAGCCTCCTTCAGACCTAACAAATGAGGTCATTTTGTAAAGAAAAAAACTACAAGCTAAACTTACTGATGTCAAGTTGTCTGAGTAGCTTTTAATGCTAATATGTGGGCCATTGTGAAGCATGGTAATCTACTAGGATAGAGCTTAAAACTGGCAAGTGTTTTCAGTTTATGCCTCAAACTGAACAATCTTATTGTTATTCTGCTCAAAGCCTGGCCAATGGTACTAATATCAAAGTGAGTAAGAAGTTCGCTCTGGCCTGTGTTCACTCCTTTTGAACAAAGTTTTCCTAATTGTGGCTATTTGCAGATGCATTTCTTGTGCTGCAACACCCAGCATTAAAGAAAATACCATCTGGCTAAACTTCACGGCCTCCTGCTCTGTGATGAATGGGGTTTCTGCATCCCCAGATAGCTTCAATGTACACACACTCAGTCTTTCAAAAAATGCAATTTATTAAATCACTTTCCGCTGCACCTGCAGAATCTCAGCAAAGCCCTGTAGAATCTGTGACATATAATTAAGAAAGCTGGGCTAAAAGTCTCATTTTTCTAATCACTTGAAGCCAGGCAGAAGCACTTAACTGCTGCTTTACTCAAGGACAGATTTTCCTCTTTCTGCCTGTGTCAGCAATCAGTCCAAACCAGTTATTACCAAAATACATACTTGCAGCTTCAGATGTAAGCACAACTTTGACTACATTGCCTGGAATCGTTTGAAGATGGGGTGTAAAGAGTCCTGAAATGCTACTGTGAGGGAGCAACAGATCCAGAAGGAGCTGACCTGTTTGATACCCAGGTCAGGGCAATCCTTCCCTTCTCCAGAGTTACTGTGCTAGCTCAATTGCATTATTGCAAAGGGAAGGGAAGGGATGGGTGAAAAAACACCCAGGCATTTCAGTACCTTGTTAGCATGCAGGAACTGAGCTGGAGACACAGAAGAGAGGTTTGCTAACCCCTGGTCACAGCTGAGATTTGCAGCTCAGGTGACAAGGATGGCAGTTTGACCCTTCTTCAGCAAGACCTGTGGGCCAAGAGCAATCCCTAAGAAAGAGGCTCTACACTTGAAAGCTTTGCTCATTTACTCAGGGAAATCAATGAGCTGCATTCTTGAGTACCTCAGAGAATCTGTACCTCCACGCCTGCTGAATCGGTTTCTTCTCTATAAATACATCTGGCATCCTGCTTGTCACTGAAGACTAGTTGCTTGCTAAACAAGGGGATTAATGTGGCCTGTGCTGCTCCTGTCCTCTGCAGGTTTTTTATATCTAAATCCTCTGGTGTGGAGGGTTGGCCAGAGTTCAGCTGTCAACCAGATGTTGCAGCACATGGCAATACCTCACCCTGCTGCTGCCCCTTCCACGTGTGGCACATCACACACAGAGCAGCAGAGCAGCTCTTGCTGCAGGCTAGCAGGAGGGAGCTGGGCCCAAATCTGGACCTAAACAGAACTCTGAATTTCCATGGAATGTTCTTTCTATTCCCTCAACCCACTCCACTTGCAGTATGGGTACCACAGTCCCAGCCTGTATGGCAAAGCAACACCTGACTGCCCAGAGGAAGAAATGTGTGTGTTCACATGCTGCGCAGTGGTATTTCACAAGGAACAAGACACAAGTAGCATGGAAAGGAGAAAGTCCTGAATCTGATGCACACCCAGGCATGGTGTGCATAAAATGTGCATCACAGGCAAGTTCAGAGGGAGAAAACTAGTATCAAAGGAAGTGAGAGCAATTCTCTCTTGTTGCCTGCCACAATGCCAAGAAGCTTGAAACTGCCATTGCTGCAGACTGCTTGAGAGGTGTTTGGAGGCTGCTGATGGAGCTCACTGCAGCACCAGGCAGAAACTTCGTAACATACAAAAGCCAGTGTAGGATTTTGAAGCGAAACACGAGGAGCTGTCTTATCTCAGCACTATCCATCAGCGGACAATTAGCTGAAACCAGGCTCTTACACTGCCCTGATTCCACCAATTTAATCGTTTCTCTCTGCTAGAAGTAAGAAGGCAGCTCCCTCTAGTGAGGTGAGAGAATATCTCAATCCGCAGTGGAGGGGAAAGATGTTACATAGAAATATATTCTCTTTGTAATCAGGTTAAAATTCTGCATTTTGAGAACAATGGAGACCACCCCATTTGCTTTCCTATTGCAAGTTACTTCAAACCAGTTGCCATGCTTAAACTTCCACGGTTAGAAAATACTTCTTTTTAACAATTAACTTCAGCTTAGACCTTGTTCTCTCTCAAATACAAAAAAGGAAACGTAAGTCTGGCCCATGAAATGGGCTTTCTGGCTCATTTAGTCCCATCACAAGGCTGTAGCAAGGGGCACAAGCAGAATGGTTTTCTTTTAAATCAGCAACTTCCCTTATTTAATAGCAATAGGGAAACTGGGGGGCTTTTCTTGCAGTATCAAGGAAACTACACCTCATTCAGCTCCCTGGGGAAGAGACCTGGTGACCTGGCAGGAATGATGGGAAGATTTTATGTAGTGGTGTCTCTGAGACAAGCAAGATGTGCAAACCACTTCCTCACCAGCTCACTTGGTTATAGCAGGTTTTGTGCTGAACTGGTTTGAGATGCACATAGGAGCTGTGTGAAATACTTCCCAGTGATGCCTGTGGAGCCAATTTGTGTTCATCACAGGTGTGCTTACAGCAGTGGCAAATCTGGAGTTTATACTGGCTGTGTTTAGAAAGAAAATGGAACAGTTCAGACAGGTCACTGTCTTACTCCAGGCAGTAAACAGTTAGAAATACGTTGTGAATATCTGCTTCTTACATCCTGCTTTATTATGTTTGAAAATGAAATTTGTTATTTTGTCAAGTATGTTTACTACAGAATATTTTTCATGTCTTTGGCTCAGCAAGCAGTGATGTGGGTACCTTTTAATGGTAGATATTTATGTTTTGCAGCAGTTATATAATTGCACATCATTATGCTGCGTGTGCACAGTGACTTCTGTGTTCACACAGAACACAGTCAACTGCTGGTGTGACGCCTCAAGCAAACAATACAGGCTTGTGTCTGAATGCCCTTTCCCTGCTAAGAGTGGCAAACAGATCCACTTGTGACCCATATTTCAAACCCACATTGTCTTCAGAATGACAGTTCTGTGCCTCATCTGCAGCAGCGTGGCCTGGAGTGGACCTGCTGGCTCACAGTCAAACCATGGGCTGAAGCTCCAGTGCTGTCAGAGCCTGCAAACACTCAGAGAAGGTTCAGGCCTCTCCTGGCATAGACACAAGGCAGCAGTTCCTATTGTTCCTATAGTGAATAGTAGATGGCAGGGACTTTTTGCCAAATAGCTTCCAGAATTGGGGCCCTTAGTTATTAATATTAAACAAATACAATGTCTTTTGCTTGTGGTAAACACTTCAGACAACAGACTCACTGTCCAATCATGTGAGATGCCCTCCCAGCCCCTGGGGGTTGGGCAGAAGCCTAGGAAACAATGCTGGCATCAACACCACCTCAAAATCCAATATTAAGTATGAAATTTGGTGGGCAAAACAATGAAGAATCCTTAATAAGAGCAAAGGCTTTTTGTAAGTACCCTCTTTGAGGAAAGGTTATCTGATCTTGTTCTTTTGTCTCAGAAAAGCCCTTAAAACAATGCACCATCTGCTCTGTTTGGTGGAAGCCAGCAGAGATCTCTTCAGACAGAGCAGGCTCATGCTGCTGTTTGCCATTTAACCCTTTCGGCCACAAACTTTCCCTTGTTTCCAGGCAAACGTTTGTTGGGGCAGAAGAGGCAAAGCCCTGCAGTCATCCTGCCTTGCCCAGCCCTCCAGGGTCCTTGAACACATCTCTCCATCAGCCTGCATCCTTTGCTAGCCCCTGTAAATGTGCCTTGATGTCTCTTGCTGCCCAAGTAGGATAATATCCCACACTTATGTGATGTGGCAATTATGAAGAATTCATTGCAAGGCTCTGGGAGACCTTCAGGTGAAGCTGAAAATGTCTCCAGTCTAAACAAGTGGTTATTCCATCTGGGGCTGTCTATGGCTGTCATGGTGTAACTCAGCATGGGAGCAACCTGTGAGGTTGTCCCTCTGCTGCAGTCACACGTGTGACAGCAAAAGAACTTCTATTGCATTTTTTCAGTGGGCTGTAATCAAATTGGACTTGAATGTTGAGGGAACATCCTTCACCTTCGAAGTCTGGAACATAAAATCATAGAATCAACTAGGTTGACATGACCTGGCTATTCCCCCTCACCCCAGAAGTATTTTCAGTTCTAGTCAGAGCCATTAGCAGGAATTCTCTTACAATGAAGGACTATTAATTCTTTAGCAATGGCATAGGAAGTACCTTGGGAGGGCACTGGATAACCACCACACCCTACACTTTGGGAAATGCCACCTTACCATGGTCCTGCTCACAGCCACCTTGAGCCTCAGCTCCAGCCCTCAGAGGGGAGGAGAGCTGTAATCGGCTGTGCCGTGTCCTCAGGCTCTCTCCAGGAGACCCATTGGCAGTTTCCTCTGGATCCTGAACTTTAGGCTCCCACCAGCAGTGATTCCTCTGAGCTGTGAGTTCTTTCTGTGAACTGTGCCAAGGTAGCAACAATTACTTGGAGAGTTTTTAAGATGGTGCATGTGTGTAAGCAGTCTTTTGAAGTAAAATGGTGTTATTTTATCCAAGCTATCATTTATTGCATTTTGTTAAATTGAAACAAAAGGCTCAATGTAATGTCATACTGTACCTTGATGTTGTCAGTACAGGTAACAACACTTGTCTTTACCTACTCTAATTACTGCTCTGAAAGGGCTTGATAGTTTTCCAAAACTATCAAGTGGCAAACAGAAACAACAACCTTGCAGTTTTGAAGCTGAATTTATGAGGCTTCATCGTACAATCTGTGCCATGCCGAGACCTGGTTGCACAATCTGGGTCTGAACCTTGGCAAAGCTCTCCGAAATCTTTCAGAAACACAGAGTACCGATCTCTGTTCCATGTTCCTGGGCTAATGGTGAGCATGGCTGTGACCCAGAGCTGTGATTTGCTGTTAACGTACATACTGATGTTTCGCAACAGTGTCAGCACCAAGTCCCACTGTCCTGACAAAGATCCCAGCAACTGGTTTTGTTTTATTTTGATCTCTAACTCTCTGAGCTTAACTATAAAGATTAGGAAGAAAGGTGCGAAATGGGCATTTATTGATCAAGCCTCAGCTGAAGCACACTCAGGACACTGAGACATGCTGAAACAGTGACAGATGTTCTCTTTTTTATACAGAAAAATGAATGTGGAATATTTTTTTCAATCAGCAATCAGCTTAGGGAAATCTTATCTCGTTTTTCTCCTTAATAAGCTTTTCTTTGTTTTTCATGACCCAGAAACTGCTAAAACAATTAGAACAGCTTTCACTACCATGTCTTGGATGTAGTCTTCTGAAAGTGGGAGCAAAGGTGGGTGAGAGAAAAGGAAAAAGAGAGGAGGTAAAAAGCAGTTCTAGTATTCACTGGGTAAAGGCACTGAGCATTGTCTCAGCTTTTGTGATGTGAGAGGTTTTTAGCTAATGCCACTGTTTCCTTTGGCTCTTGAGAAATGCCCACCTCTGTTTGGGGAGACTGATGCAGGCATCCAAATCCAGCCCTGCCAGTTTCCTGGGAAGGCTACTGCCAACACCAGTGGAAGTCAATGCAGATTCTACCGATGGTATTGGGATTACACAGGAGCAGCCAGCAACCCCTCTCCTCCAGGCACAACCACCTCTATAGCAGGCATAAACCATCACAATTCCCAGATGAGGCTCTTTGGATTTGGCTAAAAAGCATTATTGGGTCCACAGTGGGAGGCAGACTTGGTATCTAACCACTGTCTCTAAGGAATGTAACAGAAGCCACTTGTATAGGTGAGGGATGAAACTGTACACACATTTACTGGCGGTTTGGAGAATTCCCATCAGTGAATTATTTGCATTAGCAACACATCTCCATCAGCCGCCCTGCAGCCGGCAGAGCAGCCGTGCATGAAATGGGAACGTTTCTCATGGAAAGAGGCACCTGCAGGACTTCTTGCATGAACATGAGTCACTGTTTTCACAGCTATAATTAAACATGTAAACAGAAACCTCTGCTGTTGAAACAGGCTGTGGTAAGATGATGATGTCAAGAGCTGGTTTTGTAACCAGGAGGGTTTGTGTTTGTGACTGAGGCCAGCAAACCGTCAGCTTTTCACAGGTGGCTTTGTTCAGATGAACTCTTGAAGAGAGTATCTGTTGTGGCCAGCTGTAGACTCATAATTCATTGTCACTGGTAGCAACAGCGGAAGTCAAAGCACGGGCCCAATTCAGCTGCTTTTACTTCACATTTTCTAACCCAGCTCTGGCTACGCTGGTGATACAGGCACAGGTTACTGAGCGCTAAGACCCCACTGTCCCTGCCTGTTAGCACAGTCTTGTAAAGGTGAAGAACAGGCTTCCTTCAGTCCCCTGGTGGAGTTCTCTTGGTGCTGGATGATGGGAGCCTCATGTTGTCCTTTCTGGCTGTGATGCCCGCCTGTGTGTAAGGACTTCACCCACTTTTGCTTCCCACGAGTGAGTGTGCAGGACTCAGGACTACATCCAAAGTGAGAATCTAGATCATGTGCAAATAAAAACCAATTCATAGAGGGGCTTTTATGCTGAACCTTTGTATTATCTACTTTACCAGTAACTAAGAAAGGGTTAGACACAGGGTGATCTTTCTTTTATATCATCCCCTTACTGCCACTCACTGCTGCATCAGAGGGGCCCTCAACCCACAGGGAAATGAATCTGGAATTGTTCACAGTACAGCAACACTTTGCACTTCTAATCTCTACATACAGTGATATTTTATCTGCAAGTAGCTCTCCTTGTCTTTTGAAATAGCACTTGCAACAGGACTGTGATTTATTGTTTGAGAGTTTTATTGGTGGTTTTTGTGTGATGCTCTGAGGACTTTGACTCAAACACACGGCGCTTCACTTTCTCAGTGATTGCATTGTTCAGGAGATCAGCACAATCTGTCTTATTTCTGCTTTGATGCTTGTTCATTACAGCTGAGGGGCTGTTCCCAGCAGGGCCTACGGGGGTTCTGCACCACCTTCCATCCATTACTGTGAATTAGAGTTGCCTGTAAACATGCACATCAAGGCAAGAGTAATGGACTGGCCATGCTCCCTACCCCACTGAAGGGCATCACAGACACAGCTCAACTCTTCACTGAACTCACGGAGTGACAAGTGCTCCAGTTTTATACAGTTGCCATCTTCTGTGACAAAAGAGCTCTATAATCCTTGCAAATGATCTCTTGGGGCAGAAACCAGCCCAACCATTGGGAATGTGGCAGTTGCACACAAAGAACAGAGTTAACTCAGAAACTCCAATAATCACTTGTCAACTTTTTTTAAGCTGAGCTCTCTGGACTTACTGCTCCAATTTTCATTTTGCTCTTGTTTATTTTGCACCGTAAAGCTCCAAACAATCTTCTGTAGTAAAATGCTGTGCCTTGAATCCCACCTTCAGTTAAAAACTGCTCTTCTTTCTCAGTCCAGCTTTGTGCAGACCAGCAGAGCCTGGGCTGGGATCCCCACAGCAACTCATCCTTCTGTCTGAATAGGAATGTGGGGAAGCAGAGGCCAGTTTGCTGCGCATAGGTCCTTTCTTTGCAATGCCTGTCCAGGTCAGACTTTATCTTCCAGGGCTCGGGGGATTTATTCTCTAAGAGAAGAGCTCTCGGCCCCTGCAGGGCTCTGGCTTTGCTCTTCACTGTGCCTGGATGGGGGCACAGCCTGAGCCGTTGCGATTGTCTCTCCATGGTCCTTCTGCCACCAGAGACAACCCACCTGGGGCTGACACATGAGTAGGTCTTTGCTCTTTAAGACCAGAAGGATTTCTGCTCATTGCCATCAAATTAAACATTTCATTAACATAGGCTCCTGAAACGAACCTGTGCGAGCACAGTCCTTTTCCTCTAAACTTCCTGCTTCAAAACCCATTTTCCATAATAATGACAATGTGTCCTGTTCAAGGAAACACAATGTTTGTGAGGAGGTGTTGCTCCACATACACACAACCAGTAGAGCCGGAGTAAGCAGAATCCTTCACCCCACTTCAGAGCAAAGTGAGTGAAAACAATTGCTAAAAATGAATGTATAGTATTCGGTTGATTAAATCACTGCAATCCCGCGCAAGGAGGAGACCGGCGGAGGTTTAACTAGGTACTCGTGAAGACAACCCATTTACTCTGCTGGCAGTGCCACCTGGTGGGACATGGCGGGCTTACGGGAGCTCCGCGGGCGCGGAGGGGCGCGCAGTGCTGCTGGCACCTCCTGGCGGGCAGCGCTGGCCCCAGCCCGTCCCCACCGGTGCTGTCGCCGCTCCAGGAAGGGCAGAGCCTCGGCTGCACGGGGAGGGGAGCGCTGCCCCCCTGCTCCCCGCCTCCTCCCGTTGCGGGGAGGCTGCCTCTGCGGCAAACCCCCCTGTAGCGGAGATCCATCTGTCCAAAAACCCCGGGTGAACCTCTCCCATCGACCTTCCAGCTCTCCGCGAACAGGTGGTTCCCTCTTTCAATACATCTTGTGTCAAAAACTGCCTACTTGGCGATTCTCCGGGTAAGGAGCGAAGAGGAGGCTGGCTGCGTGCTGAATTGGTGCCATTTATTTGAACTACGTGTATGGGGGGTGCATTTAGAGAATAATATATGCAGATTTGTTTACCTTCTAGAGAGGAATCTGTGAGATGGAGTGGCTGGGCCAGTTATGGGCTTTCCATGCAATAGGCTTGTGTCCACCTCGGAGCCCTTATTCACAGCAAAACCTTTTAAAAAGACAAATGAAGACATTTAATAAATATGCTCTTGGTAGAAATGAAATGGCCCAGCTTTGGCATCTGTTTTCTGCCTACTTATGTGTGAGCACTTAACTTCCATATAGCTCTTCTCACCCACAGGTTTCTAAGTGCACAGGGTTAGGTTTATAAGTCCTTTCTCCCCACCTGGGAAAGCCTCAGCACCAGAAGGTGAAGTGATATGTCCAAAATCAGTGGCAAAGCTACAGATAAAATTCAGAGATGGAGCTTCACAGGTGCCATGAGAGGAGAAGAAAGTACTCAGATTATTTCTAAATTAGATCTGAGCTGAGCAGGGAACGAGCCTGCAAGCACTCAAGGCTCCATGACTGCTCCTTCTGAAGACCCACTGCTCAGGGACTTGCCAAGACACAACTCTTCCAACAGCCAAAGGGAGCTGAGGCTTAAATACTGCTTTGTAGCTTTGGAATACTTGGGCATCTAAGCCCACTGGGTCAAGGAGTGGCTATTTCCATCTGGCTGTCCAGGGATGTTGCTTCCACTAGTGCTATCCTCAAGGCTAATCCTGCCCAGTCCTTGAAATTCCTTACCTGATGGCACAACTAATGCGTCAGGATCTGGGGCATCCAGAAGCATTTGTGTGATCATTGTCCTGTCTTGCTCATCCTTGATGGTATCAGGTTCTGGGACAGAAGAAGACTCATTGTAAAGGTCCAGAGTTTTCTCTGACGATGTTTTGCCAGTGGAGTCTTGAGTCCAGCTCACTGCATTCAGTCTCTTAGTTGCCATCTCAATCTTCTCTGAAAGTTCCTTAGATAGACTACGTATGACTTTCACTCGTTCCTGTTTACTTCTGTATGGAGAAAGACCAGAAGTCAAGTCCTTGGAATAAGGTTTTGTATCTTCCTGATGAAGGAAGAAGCTCAGAGGAGGCATGTGTGAGGCTGAGGGAGAGCAGTCCCTCGAGTCTTCACGTTTCAGAGGACTGACAAACCAGCACTTGGACTCTGGTGTTGCTGGAGAAGCTGATGCCTCTCTGGTTTTAGGTGACTGAACTGCTTTTAGTTGACTCCTGTTTAAATAAAAAGGAGAAATAACCATGTTATAAAGACAAAGTAACAGTAACTTTCTGCCCAGACCAATATCTTCAGCTAAAGCTCTTCACAATAGAAAGAGTTCTCTGCCTACAGATACCTTTGTCAAATTATAGATTCAGGCTGGAGCATGAACTGCTGACAGATAAGGTGAAGAATCAGCCAGGGGCTAGCAAGGAATAATCATTATGTAAAAATAAAAAACATAGAAGTGGGCTGAAAACTTTGCTTCAACCTGGAGAGCCAGAGCACTGGTGTCCTCCTATGCTCCAAAGCACTCCCGGCTGCTCCCTGACCGGGGTGCAGAGCGGCTGGTTTACAGTGAGGTATTGCACTGGTTCATTGCTCTGCTTTTTATAGTTTACAACAGAATAACATGAAAAGTCTGCAGAGTGCTGAGAAAGAGGCTTTCAAAGATGCTGTTTATGTCTAGTACCTGCTTGTGTGGTCTTCACTTAATAGAGTCCAGGATGTTTTATCCACCCAGGCTGTGAAACTCCTCTCTGGAATGCCACCAGTGGTTTGCTCCTGAAACAGAAGTAACCATTAGCATAAGCATCAAATACCTGGGCAATACAAGGGTAATATTTGGCTTTTGTTCCAGTTAATAATTGGATCATGCAACTATACAGATACTTTGAAGCACTTGCAGGAAGTGTTTCATCTCCTGCTGTGCTTATCAAGGGTGGGGGGGTTTCAGTTCCCAAAACCAATGATGACTTACTTGTTCACGTTTACCCTGAGGACTCCCTTTTGCAGATGCTGTTTTACCCATGAGCTTCTGCATCTGGTCAGAACACGTTTTCCTTCCTACAGCTTCTCTCTGTTTCCTGTATACTTCCTGCAATCTCTTATTTCTCAGCTCTGTGGCCTGCACCAAGGACTTTTTCTCTTCCAGGCTTTTTTTCTTTCTTTCTTCCTTCTTTTGATACATAAACTCCTGAATAATTTCAGGGCTGTAGGGGTGAGGTTTCTTAATGTTCACCCTCCTTTTTGAGGGGTGTTTTAGGTTTTCTTTCTCAGACTCTTTCTGTGCAGGGCTGCTTGAGCCTTTCTGTCTCTGAGGAGATGCACTTTTTCCTCTGCTGCAGTTTCCTGAGGTCCTGGGCTTGGCTCCATCTTTCATTGCTGAAGAGCGTATCTTTTCCCCACTGAAGGCAGACAGAGCTGTGCCCTGAGGTCCAGGTGAAGGAGAATGGATCCCCAGGTATCTCTGCAGAGCTTCCACCTTTTCTTTTGCAGTGTCCTGGTGGAGCCTTGTGTGTCTATGTTCATTGTGACACTGGCTTTGCAAGTGCAGGCTCCTGAGTATTTGCTTTGTATCCTTGGTCGGTGCCTTGCTGGGGGTAGTTGCTGTGGTCTGCTCTTCAGCTGTGCTCCTCTGGTTTGGAAAGGTAGGGGGTGGACCAAGCAACTTCCTAGCTAACTTCTGACCTTCTCTCCAGGCAGAAGCACCAGGCAGCTTCGCACCTGAAACAGGGGATTTGTATTTAATTGTTAAACTCTCACCTGTTCTTTGTAAGGAGGTTGCAACTCTAGTATGTCTTTTTAATGGGGATTTTGCAGGTTCTAAAAAGTTTCAGTCAGGGCAGGTTTTACAAAAAGAGTTGATGCTTGGATAACAAGAAGGTTTTAAAGCACTGCAGGTGTGGAGGCTGTTATTCTGCTCACATCTGTTCACCAGCTGACAGAGAGCTGGTTCATGAATAGGATGAGGGCAGCACATGAAGGTTCAGTGGTATCTGAAGGCTGGACCATTACCATTATAAATTATACAATTTAGCACTTCTGGCATGTACACACAGTTGTTACAAGTTTTACTCAGAAGCCATTGACCCCCCCCCCCAGTCCTCAGGAGTACTAAGAAGAGGTAGGGACATCAACCTGAGGGTGTCTGAAAGCATCCTTCCCTGATGGCAGCTGCAGACGGCTGGTCCTTACTGTGTATATGTGATCACTTCAAACTTGCTGGAGTAAACTAAATCATTTTGAAACTGGTGAGAATCAGCAGGATCCAGTGGGGAAGAATCAATGAACAACACAGGATGAGGGACAATGTATAATGCAAAAATGAACGATGCAGTATGCAGCACAATTTTTTTCTGCTTAATAGGTGGTGTCACATAATAGACAACATTTATCACTGTTTTGCTTCAGCATTTCAGACTGCATTTGCAGCATGCCAACACTTGCACTGGCATAATCATGTATTTATCGCAAACGCTTTGCCAGTTGTAGGTGACTAAACAGGTATTTGTTGTTTGGGTTTTGCATGGAAATTCCCCCCATTGAAAATATTCAAGCTTATTTTTTTACAGAAGAGACTTTACTCTTAAATTGATATTGGCCTCAATTCAAAGATGTGGTTCAGTACTGAGTCAGGCTTTTCCACCTTCTGCTCAGTAAACTTGTCCATGAGCTGAGCTGTGTGCAGCACCTCTGAGAATCACCTGCTGAACACAGAGCAGCTTCAGAGACTGACTGGTCAGTGGGATCATCTCGAGATCCCCTGCTTGGAGTAAGGCAGCATCTCGGCCAACAGCCCTGGGCTCTGGACCACGGCCCCTGACAGAGTCACAGCTGCTCACAGCAGCAGGGCTGGCAGTAGACTCTGAGATGCTCTGAGCACATCTTGATCGTGCAGTTTAGGTCATGTCATGAGAGGAATGAAGTTTTTAAGACAAGGAAGAGCTTCACTCTGTGCAGCTGAAGTCACTCCCTATGATCATGTGGATTTACTCTGGAACCCTTCAGAGGACTTATACACTAGATCTGTGTCTCACAGCAGGAACTATGGATGGAATTGCCAGAATCTGATGGGCTGAGGAAGGCTGAGACCCATCAGTGTCTTTAGTGAACACCTTGCTGTATTACTTTGTTTTCTAGTTTAGCTGTACTAAAGATGCGGGAAACGCTTATTTTGCATGCTGTCTGAGCTTCCCCGAGTGCAGATCTCACAATCTTCACTTCCCCATGTTGTCTGATTCCAATTAAATCTTTTTTATCTACACAGTGTTTATGAACTACAGAAACTCCTTTGCTAAAGTTCAAGAGCAGCTGCATTTCTGATACAAACAGTCGCTAGAAGAACATCTTTTGATTTTAATATTCCTCTGGGAGGATTTCTACCTATGAACGGATGAATATTTTATAGCTGTTGTGACTTAATTTTTTGTTAACTGCAGCAAATTTCTAATTCATCAAATTCATGAGTGCTCTGGCTCTGACCCCTGCCCCTCATTCATCTCCTCTAGCCCTGCCTTGGCTCTTGCACTGACAGAAACTAATAGCCAATAAAGACACCATGACACTGGCAGTTACAATGATGAATGTTTCATGTGCCATGCTCTTATTATGACCCTCTCTCGGAGGAAGATGGAGCCATTTTTCAAACAATCCATTAAAACAAAAAAAAAAAAAAGAGGAGGGAGAGGAAATTATTACATATTTCATGCATTTTAAATCATCTTTAGGTAGTTGAGCACATGGTGCCACTGTGTTCATAATTTCACCTGCATGGGATTAGATAGCTTGGGGTTTTTTCTTTCTGGTTCACCCAGGTTACATACCTGGTACCTTGGCTGGTGTAAAATACAGCAGCTTCGAGGGAGCAGCACCCACAGCACTTCCACTACTTGCCCAATTCCCCACTAAGTTTGAACACAACCACTTCCTATGTAAAGTAATAGCATTTAATGGGTGAATTACTTCAGTAATTCAAATGTGCAGCTAGCATACTGGTCAAAGAAACCTGAGAACTGAGGACTGACCACTGCTTCCAGCTGTTGACTGCAGTAAGGCTGTGAATAATTAATCTGACTACTTTGGTTTAATCCCTATTTCACAGGCCAGGAAATCCCTGCATTTTGAGGGCACTCTTAATTCATTGGGGAACACAGAACTGAATATTGATGGGGCAGTCACAGCTGCTCTGGTCAACCTGTGCCAGGGCTTCACCACCCTCACAGGGAAGAACCACCATAACCCTCAATGGTTTTCTTTGTTACATGTTTGGTATGGTCCTTGACTGTGGATCCTAGGATCCTAGGATTTGGTTTAACACCCAGCTAAAGATTTTGGCAGGTGGGTGCCTGGATGACACTGACCTCCAGCAGTTTGGTGCATCAGTCCATGTAATTGCTCATGATTTTCATCCTTACCTTTACCTGTTGCTGCTCTCTCCAGCACAGAGGACTTGGGTGAAGGCTGCGTCTGCCTTTGTGTTTGAACTCTCCGTGCTGAGCTTCTCTCTCTTCTATCTTTAATCAGAAGAGGGATAAAAAAAAGCACAGGAAAGAATTAGTGTGCACCTAAAATCAAACTTCAGACACAACCAAACCAAACTCAGTTCCGTTCACTTCGAACACAAAAATGAGAGTCTCTTTAATGACACTGGTTACCGAACTCTTTGTGGTACTACAGATGTCCTGGCAAAGCAAGCACTGGCCTGGTTACATCCCTGGGGTTACTTCTGTGACCCTGTCTGCATGTACAACAGTGAACTGTGCAGATGGAACCCAACTGGCGATGTGGGTGCAATGGGACACCCTCCCCTCGTGTCTCTTTGGAGATCCAGACTAACCTTTTGTGCAGAGTACACAAACCCTGCATGCTAGGGCAAGGTGCAGGTAACAAACTGTTAGGATGCAGCATTGCCAGCCTGGATCTGGGGGGCTTTTTTATAATGCCTCCCTTGTCCAGGGATGGCAAATTCTTCCCTGCCTGGTATTCTGTGCTCTTCATCAGATAAGGAGAGAGCAAACCCCAAGTTCCCAGCACTAAACCTGGACAAACAGATATTTGAGACGTGTTAGGCTACCAGGAGCAGTGCAAATGCCGGTATGTGATAGCACCAAGCTCCTGCATGTGTGAAGAGCAGGAGCAGGTTTCCCAGGCCAGACCTGGGAAGTACCTGGCAAAGCAGCTGCAACACACTTTTCATGGTGCAGTCACACAAACTGAACTGTGTCTGAACCGAGCATCTGGAGCTGTTACTGTGCAGCCTCAGAGGCTGCCTCTGCTCTGCAAGTGGCGTTGTTTGCCTGGTACTTCCCTAACTCAGTTATGTAAAGTGACCCTGGTTAAACCCAGACCAAAGCAGCCTTCCCCAGGGGTATGTTGGAAAGAGGCTCAGTGGGGATTGCAGCTTTGGCTGCTGGGCATTGGGGGGGGGGGAGGTTGTAACTGCACACTGGTGACAGAAAGCACTGCCTGGGTCAGCTGAAAGGGGGAGATGGCAGCACAGACCTGCGCTGCCACAGACCCACCAAATACCTCCAGACACCACTGTAAAGGTGACTTGGAGCAAATCTAAGGGAAATGCCTGCAGAAGCTGGTGCTGTGTGACAGGGATCATAATGCCCAAATGAATTAACACTAATGCTATTACAGCAACAAGACTTGTTATGCACAGCTTTGCAGCATGTCCTCTCTAGTCTAATACACCCGCAGTAATCCCCTGCTGACAGGACAGCCCTTGCTATCGAGTCTGCATGTTACTCCCAGCAATCTCAGACCTTAAATCACTCTAAACTGAAGTGACAGCTGTAGATGGATGCTCCTTCAGGCCCAAACTTAGCAGCAAAGCAGGATGAGGAAGTCTAATAATATTTGCTTTCAGATCCACACAATTTCCACTGAATGAACTGTTAAATCCACTCTAAGCCTCTGAACTACACAATTCCTGCTTTAAATACCTGTGATGCCTCTCCACACTACTGTGCTGCTCTTTGGCATTTCATGCTTGATACAGAATATATATTTGCAACAAATTCTTTCCTATTTTGTGGAAAGAGATGTATAAATTTGTGCATTTGGGGAAGTAAATCCAGCGGAGAAGCAAATCCAGGAACCAAGTTCATAGCTATAGACGAGGGTGGTTCACAGCTCCCCCAGGGGCTGCAGGAGTAAATGCATTTATCATGTGAGCATGTTGCTGCCCAGCATACACCAAAGTGTGGGGTGGGAGCTGTGGGGTCAGTTATTCAGCTATGCCAAATCCACAGCTTCAGCCTTTCTCCATAGGTGCCACACTGCTACTGACCTCTGTGAGCTGGAGCAGGAGGAGCAGACATCACTTGGCACACCTTTCTCTTCAGGCCTCTTTTTTGCAGTGGCTCTTCAGCATAGGCAGAAACCAGGCACTTCTGCAATGCTGCTTCCTGCTTTTGCTTCTGCTCCTGGATTCTCTTCTTGAGTTGCTCTAACTTGTTCTGGGGTGATTTTTTCCACAAGTCTTCCAGCTTCTCAGCACTGGGCTTGCTGCCTGATGGAGGGTGGCATGCAGGAAGCAGGACATTGCTCCAGCTGCCATGCTGGACAGCTGAGCACGGACTGCTCCTTGCAGGGCACTGAGGTGGATGACACAGAGAGCAGGGAGATGTTTTCTTTTGTACTGTGTGACCTCCTGAATCTGCCTGCTCCCTGAAATGGTCCCTTCTTGGTCTGAACAAGCTCTTTGCAGAAGACCATGTCCCAGCTGTGCCTTCAGCATTCACATCCTCCTCCCCAGCAGAGCTGCAAGGTGCTGAGCTTGAGTCCTCCCTGGGGGTCATGCTGGATGGGCCAGAGCTCACAGAAGGGCTCTCAAGGAAACAGATCTGTGACTGAGCAGGGCAGAGAGCAACACAGCTTCCCTTTCTTAGGAAAAGAGAAAACCAAGACTGAATACATAGGGTGTATTATTAAATTGATCAATACACTGCTGATATGAATGGCAGCTGAGCTTCTACAGCATGTTTCGGTGGTGATCTCAGTGTCTCCACAGGATCAGCATTTTACCAGTTGCCAGCAGTTTGGCAAAGAGCAAACACTGGGAAAGCACAAAGCAAACTGTGGTTTGATAAGTTATTGCAGGCCCTGGCAGATAGACTAATCCAGAGGACTGATGTCAATGGGCTTGTTCCTCTGGCTCGTTGGCCAGCATTGCCAAGGGGACATTGTTTGGAGACTTTTCCTTTTTTTCTAATAAATAGGAAGGTGCTAAACTTTTCCTGAAGTCCTGCATCCCAGAATTTCAAATCCCTTTAGGTGCCTTCACCTCTTCACCCCCTAGGTGCTGGACACTGAGGTGGTTATTTACCTGTAGGCTGGAGGAATCTCATTGCTTTTCTCATTCAAAGGCATTTCATCTTTGCTCCTCTCACCATCTGCAGCATAGCAAAATTATGTAAATGTCCAGAATATTCCTTAACCATTAAATTAAAATGGCTGTTTTCACTAGGGACTATTCCCCAACCAAATGGCCCTTTGGACACTTGGGTACGATTTCATTCCTACTTGGTAAAGAGCCTGCAGCACTGCAGTTCTGGGAGAGAAGAGCGAGAGTTTGGTCTGGTATAGAAATCCCTGTGTGCACTGCCTCTATGTCACCCAGTCCTGCAGGTCACACCCAGTGGTTGGTTACTAGCATGGAGCATTTGGTTAGTACCTTGCACAGAACCCCGTGCTACCTTTAGCATCCTGTGTCCCAGCTACTTGGGCACCCTGGGTGTTAAAGTGTGTTCCACCAGGTCACATTGTGCCCTTGTCACTTAAACCCCGTGGCAAGTATCCAGCTCCTCATTCCTTCCCTGATTCTTGGGAGCAAGAAAAGAGATTAACATGTGAAACCACAGGCTCCAGCAAAGCTTCTGGCAGATGTACTCGACACACTTCTCTTGCTCTCCTTGTTACCCAGAGCAGGGCCCAGGCAGTGAGCTGTGTGAGTGTACCATGGGCATGGTACAAAGCTCTGTTGCTCTGGAAGGAAGAACATCCATGTGTATCAAAGCCTGGCAGTTTAAACTGTTCCCAGTCAGTAACCAGCTCACAAATAAATACCCAGAAGATGCAAAAATAACAAGTGAAGCCTATTCTTGTCATTAGTTTTTAAGAGTCTTCTGGAATCTGGTTTTCTGATTTTTCTTATCCCACTTGGTCTCTTAGAGAGATGAATTTAAACACATTTTGTATTTCCTGTGACAGTGAACAAAACCTGCTGTATTTACATCACTTCAGTTAACTCTAGGAAAAAAACCTAAGGACAAGCACAAGTAGCTTTTGCTTCACTGTAGCTGGTGGGTATTAATGTTGCATCTTTGCCTGAGCTCTTTCCAGCAAGGGGACCCCTCATGCATTGTGATATTCCTCTGGGAATATTAGGAAGCTGATGAAAATACACTCTTCCCTCAGTAAAGAGGGACTTTCACTATCTCTTGCCACCTTCCCTTCCCTCCAGCACCAAAGCAGTCCCCCGTCCCAGCAGTTTTCTGGTAACTCAGGACTCACCAAAGCTTTCTTCATGCCAAAGCTTTCTCCTGGCTGCCTGGGATTTGGCACATCTCCATGTCTGATGATAGAATTTGTTTTCAATCTTTTGTAGCTGTGAAAAGACAGATTTTTCTTTTGAAGGGAGACATATGTTTTATTTCTGTGGTCCCTTTGCTGGCACACGCTACTGCTCTGATTAATTTTGCAGCTCCTGGTGACTCTGTAAATACTGGCATGTCTGAGCATGTTCCTTGTGGTATTTCCTACCGTTGGAAAGAATGCAATTCACTGGGAAGAGGTGAAATAATCTCCATTATTTACACTCTGCAGGTATGCGTGCCTCAGCTTTGTACTGCTCTGATGTTAAACCCAGCATTAAACTGGAAGTAATCCCAGCCAACAGCAACTCCAGCAGCACGATACCAGTGTCATGCAGCTGGGTACCATTGTGCATTCATCCAAGCAAGTCCTCTGTCAGGATTGTAGCTGCTGGGCCTGACAGAAACATTATGTTTCCTACTAAAAGGACAGGAGAGCTCAGAAGATGTGTCAGCCCAGGGAGTGTCAGCTATTGCTCTGCTCAGGGCTTCAACCACAAGCAAGGCAAACCTTGACCTGTCATTGTCATTAATGTGGAAGAGTGTTATGAAATTGGGCAAGACTTCTTACTCTTCCCCTTACCCTCTTTTTGTCACTTAGTAAATGAGTAAAGAGGTCATATGTTCCTTGAGAAAGCAAACTGAATGGCATGAAAGAAACCTCTGTGGAGGTGATGCACAGGCAGGTGACAGAGATTGATAAAGGTGACAGCAAGTGTTCCTCAAAGCACACATACCACTGCTTTGGCTTCCTGGAGACTCTTCCAAGCCAAGGCCACATCTGCAGAAGCAAGAGACCAAAGACATGTTTTAGCATCAATTCTCACATGTCTTTGCTATAGGCAATTTCCCCTCATGCCCAAGCCAGAGCCGATTATAGAGCTGGTGGCTGAAATACAGAACTGCTCCTGAAAACTCTCTGCACTGCTTTTATATACAGCTTGTTTCCAATGCGTGCTTGGTTCTGGCAGAGCTGATGCTCTTTGAGCTATGTTAGTGCTTATTCAGCAAAGTCCTCACTGCTATTAGCTGGTTAGTCCTATTTGGTAGTTACCTTAAAACCACCCAACACACAGGATAATGTGCGAGAGTAAAAACCCTTGTGTCTTTTACAGAAAAACCAAAGGAACACATCAGATACAGAGAAGGTCTTGATGGGAGCTTATTACATACAACGAGTAGTAACTGAATCTTGATAATTTGAGGCTGAGGAACTTTCATAGAGCAAGTTTCTGTAGAAAGCAGTGTGAAAAGGGGAGTTTTGGTGTTGCTGTAAGAGCCACAAGCACTGTTACAAAACCATCCAGCACTCTCCAGACTTCAAAATAGTTGCTCCATTGTGTCTGAAAAATCCAGATTAAACCAAGTGCTAAATTCTTTCAACAGTGATAAATCCTCAGTTTAAAATCAAGTTACCCAAATCTCTGCTATGACCACACAGGAAAATGGCAGCTCATTGCCTGTGTACCACCTGGAGGAGCTGATTCCTCAGATGCAAACCAGTGCCCCATCTTTCAGCTGGGCTAGAACTCTGCTTCCTTGATACCCATGTCTGAAATAACTATGCAAAAGAACTGGTGATTGCTGCCTTTGAAAGACAGCTGAGGGCACTTTTATGCCTACAAGTATACTTTTTCTCATTACCATTGCCGCCTGCCCATAAAGCCCCTTCACCATCACATCTGTGGCGTTTGTGAATGTGACCTGTTGTTATTTAATTTCTCAGCCTTGTGATGGAACCTGGGGAGAGACAGGGATATGACCCATTGGTAAATGTCCTGCTCTGGCTCAATGCACTTGAAGAGCTGCCCTGGGAGCTCGGGAGTCTAATGCACTCCCTTGAGGCACTGTCTGACTGGTCAGAGAGTCAAAAAAATCCTTACTGCCTGGTTAACACTTACCTTTTGAAGTGTTATCCATGCATGGAACAAAGCCTTCACTGAAGAGCTGTGCAAAGTCACATAGAGAAGCACTTCAGAGATGATCCGTGGGAGGGCTACAGTCTTTCTACGCTGGCTAATCCCAGGAGCCACTTCCAAAGGGAGGTGTGAGCAAGATCTGAGCACTGAACATCCCATTTACTGCTCCTTCCTTGGACTGAACCATCCACAGGCACCAGCTCCCTGGTACCTGCTGGGAACACAAAAGTTCATATAAGACAAGTCCCTGCCCATAAGTGCTGGGAGGAGCAGGATGATGTCCAGAGGAGTCCCACAAGCCCAGGAGAACATCAACCATCACCACACCTTTGTTTGAGCCCTTCTGCGCAGGAGGAGAGCAACAACAGGTCAGGGAGAGGCTGTTATGAGCAGAGGAGAAAACAAACAGCAACAAAAGGAGCCTGAGCACCCAACTCAGCTTGCAAACATGCGGCAAGGTGCCAGCAGCTCTCGACAAGCCCTTGAGTCCTCTCCAGGGCGTCTGGCATCCTGGACATGACTGCCCATAGGGCTGGCTGGCTGCAAAGGAGAGGAGAGGGCAGCAGAGGAGCAGCGCAATCAGCCTGGGGCCCAGGTGGAAGCAGCTCTGAGGTTCGGGGATGGAGAGAGGGTACGGTGCAGAGCAGGAGAGAAACCAGACCTACCTGAGTCCTCACTGCAGAGCACCTCTTGTTCCGAGGCACCTCCCACACCTCCCAGTGTGGGCGCATCCTGCCTTTGGTCCTGCTCTCAGCAGCACTCAGTCACACCTGGATGCCTGGTCTCCAGAGAGCACGGGGCTTTTATTTAGGGGGAAATGAAAAGGGGTTCTGGTCTTTGTGATGAAAAAGAAAAGCTTGAGAACATGAAGTAAGCATGCGCTGAAGTCTCGGATGAGGCTTTTCCCCCTCCGGGGGGGTCAGGTTTTGAAGTGTCACGATTTTGACGTTTCAGTATTTGAAAGCTGGGGGTAACCCCCCCGGTTCTTCAGGTCTCGCTGTTCCTGTCTCCCAGTTTTAACCGGAGGGAACAGTTCACTCGGGAAACAGCAGAGGGCAAGCTCAGCTCGCGAACAGGAGCGGAAACCCAGGGAGGCTCCGGCCAGCAGGTCCTGCCAGGACGAACCAGCGGCCATTGCCACTTCGGTCGGAGCCTGGAATGGGGGGCAGCAGCAAAACTCCTGCTAGAGCAGTGATTCACTCTCCTCTTCGTTCTCGTTCTTCATACTGCTGTGGGTTGGATTGCAGCAAGTACCCCAGGAAGAGGCCCTCTATCCTCCAGGTCCCATGGCATTGCAGAGCAGAGGCTGATGTTTCAGCAGCATTTTGGTTTATGTTGAATTGGGCTCTTTTTTCTGGTTTATGTCCTCAATCGTTTGTTCGTGCTTTATAATCCTGCAGATTTGCTTTATGCAGCAATGTCAGGATTGTAAGTGCTCATTATAACTGGAAAGTACTGCTAGTGAGGCAAGACACTGACACCACATCCTCTCATGTACATGGATCGCTGTGGTCTCTAGAGAAGCTCTCTTGAAGCAGCAGACTCAGACTAATCTAATAAAGGTCAGATATCCCCAGCAGTTCAGCTTTTCAAGCCCAACCAAACAAGGAATTCCTGAGCTCCAGACTGGAGTCACAAAGTTCCTGTTTCAAGCTGTTCCAAGCCAACATTTCAGCCTGATTAGAGGTTTCAGTACCACGAATGCAGAGCTTGTCCAAGAGGGGAGCCACAGCTATTCAGGGTGTGCAAGTGATGAGACCTAAATACAGCCTCGGGCTTCACAGACAGCCATGGTGCCAAGTGAACTGGTCCACCAGAGAGAGGAGAGAGCAGTAATGTGAGAGCTCAGCAGTGGGAAGGCAACTTCCAGTGAAGATCTGGGAAGACAGGAAGCTGTGACAGTCACCAGGAAAGCCCAGGGCTGGATGAATTGACAGAGGAGCCAAGTAGGGCAGGGATGCACGTGCCGACAGGCAGAGCTTCCCCAGTCCCTCAGATCACACTGGCATCTCTTGGCAGTGTGTTTTCCCAGCAAGCTGTTGGAGCTGACAGGAGCCAGGAGCGTGACAGATTGCCAGCATGTTAGGCTGCACATCTTGGAGTGTCAGCCCACAAATCTGCCCAGAGATGAAGAGGAACCTATCACTGGACCAAATCCCACTTCTGCAGTGTGTGAAGCCAAGGCAGACAGGAGCAAATCCATTCAGATGGGAGTTTCAGATGTGTATGAGCAGAATGAGCCAGTCATGTATGGTTCTGGCCTGCTGACTCCACAGCTCCTGTCACGGGGAACTGAGACAGAATTAGCCCTGTGTTTTCACTCATATGGCACTTATGATGCATCAGCCCTCACACTCTGATTTTCCTACAGAGGTACTCAAAACTACTCCTACTCCTTTTAGCAAACCAGACTACAGGCTATCGCATACCCAGCGGGGGCTTTACAAACCCATTTTATGCTTTTTCTGGAAAGGATATTACAAAATTTCTTGCAGCCAAGAATCTGCCAAGAGTGATGCTGCTAACCGATCCGATGGGATTGCCCCACAGGATGCATATGGTCCAGATAGGAGTCTCTGCTTTTTCCCAGCCAGCAGTTTCTGCTGTCTTCATGTGCACAAGGATGAAGCGGGACCAGAAGTGCACAGCCCTGTCTCACTGTGGCATTCGGCGAGCTCCAGCATGGATGGCAAAGCAAAGGCAAATGGGTTTGGTGACTACTCAACCCTGTGCAAGGCCGTTTGGAGTTTGGTTTGACATCGTCCAGGCTGCAGACTCACCTCCCAGAGGCTTCAGCATCCGCTGTTGTGCGCTGTCACTGGTGGGGTTATTTACTTAAACCAGTAACCCACAGGGCCTGGCAGGATTCAGGAAGTGCATCTGCACATGAACCAAGCCCAGAAATTCCTCCTCAGGCTGTGTTGGGAAGCAGCTGTGTACGACACAGCTGGGCTTTCACACCCACCACATATACCCCAAGGATCTCGTAGGCAATAACTCGCAGCTCTGGCAGACACACTCCTTCCTTTCTCTCGCTGGTTTGCTGTGGTGCTTTGCTTTGTGAGGGTGCTGCGAGTTCCCTCGCTTTTGGGAGATTCATCCAGCTAAAAGGAAGGGAAATGGTGCTTGTTTGTTGGGGATTTTTACATGTCTGACTAAGCAATTCACATTGTAAACCCCTTCTCACAGCAATTCTCGGTTAGCAAACAATCAAAGCACAAATCTAGACTTCAACTGCAAGCAGGATGTGACAGGAATTTTGTAGTAAGCATATGGTGGGAAGAGGCAGCTGATAAAAACAGTGAACTGCTCTGAAGTCAGAGAGCCCAGCGCCCAATCCTGCACCCCTGCGATCTGTGACAGAACAAGAGACAAAGACATTTAATAAATGGGGTTTTGATTTGAACCTGCAAGGAGCGTCAGGTTGACCACAGCACATTGAAGTAATTAAGGGTTCTTATCTCTCAAATCAGCAGCATAATAAGGCTGACCTAAACGTGTTACCCCCACTTGTGCCTTGCCACAGCTCCTGAGATAAGACATGAATTTCTTCATCCCCAGGTAATGTTGTAAGATAACATTAACATAAAACAGAGATGCAGAGGGAGGAGTCAGACTCTGGCTGCAGTTTTTGCTGCTACCACTGATCTTATTTCTTGTATTGATTTTTAATCCCAGCAGCTGCTGCTCTTCCCATATTGTTTAGAACAAGCAGATGCATCTCTCATGCTCTGTGTCATCCCCTCAGTCACTGAGCTGTGCTGAGGGCTGCTCAGAGAACAGCTCAAATGCAGGTGGGAGGCTGCCCCAAGCCTATGGAGGGATTTGCTGCAGTAGGAGATGCACATCCTTTGCAGTGATTACAGCCAGAACCACAAGGAAATATTAAGCTTACATTTTCCTATTGATGTCCTAAAATAACAACAGAAATGTGTGTCAGGAAAGAACTAGACCTCCAGAATATCTGACTGTCATGTTGCATGCCAAATGAAGTCTGGAAAAGGGCAAGTGTTCTCTTTATGTGCTAAAACACATCCACTTACTGGGAGAAAGTGCATTAGGATAGGAACAGCTATGCATGGCCCACTGGGGGCTTTCCTATCAAGAGGTGAATCTGAAGGAGGGGGGCTGCCTGCACCCTGCCTGCAAGGTTGCCATGGAAACCTGCCGTAGTAAACGGGCTCTCCAGCACCATGAGAGGATTTATAGCAGCGGGCTGGGAAGAGGCCACTGAAAACAACGGTTTGCAGGTAAACCGGCACATTTCCCTCTGCATGGCCTGTGTGTGCTGTGAAATGAAAAAGATGGGGAGCAGGTTGCTGCAAGCCCCCGTGTCCAACCTGGCCTTGAGCACTGCCAGGGATGGGGCAGCCACAGCTTCTCTGGGCACCCTGTGCCAGCGCCTCAGCACCCTCACAGGGAAGGGCTTCCATCCAACGTCTAAGGAAGGACAGGCCAGTGTCTCAGCACCATAGAGCTTTCACAGGCTTTCTTCTCCTGCTGCTGATCTCTCACACAACTCTCTGCAAAATGGTCGCTCAATGGCAGGACCAATGACAACTTTCTGCCCAAAACACTGACATCAAAGAATGGTTTGAACCAGATGCACATTTTGTTGAGTGAATTTTCATTTTCTTCCAGAACAGAGGAAAAAGTGACTATTTTCAATCATTTCGTTAACTCCATGGGGCCAGGGTGGTCATCAGCTCCTACACAACTGCCTGAGTCACCTTGTTGTCATATCTAGTAACAAAGCTCAAAATTCCCTGACTTACCACGTGTCCTGGGCTTAGTGTGACTGGATGGAAATATGCAGGTCAGTACACGCCTGGCTACACTTGTGACACTTATTATAAGAAGGAAAATACCTTTTGAACTGGAGAATAGAGTCCGTGGCAGCAAAGACTCAAAGCTCTGTACTCTCTTTAAGCTTGTTCTACCATGCTCTGCAGCTTTTCCCTCAACTGTTACTTTGTTCGGCTTCCACCTTTCAACAAAGCATCAAACAGCTTTCAAGAGTGGCAAGTTCTCAGCCTCCTCCTTCACAAAGAGTTATATGTTCAAAATCCAAAGAGTCAATCAAAATCTAGGAACTGGGTCCCCCTCCTACCTCTGCTGCTGCTTCTTCCTTTGCCATCAAGACCTACCCACACAGCAGATGCTGCCAGCGTTCCACTCCTTGTTTGCTTCTTTTCCTTGCTGTAGTGCTTCCTTTGGACCTTCAGTGGCTTTTAAAAGCCCTCCTGCTTCCTTTCAGTTCTTTTTATCTACTCAGCAATTTGCAGCCCGTTAATCTCAAACCTGCATCATCTGCAGATGGCATCATGAGGAGCTTATCTAATCACCTGGGTGGAAGTTCTTGGGCAGACCAGTGCAATGATGGGTGTGCAGATGTGGCACACAACTCATCTAGATGCACATCTGTCTTGTAGCAGAGCTGATCTACACCAGTACAGGCAATTGTAAGAGGTTATGAGAGCAGAAAAGCCTTATATATCCCACTGCCTAAAAGCGGTCCCTAGGGACATTGACCCTCTGCTGCTAAATTCACCTGATTTCCCCTTGATTACATTTGGTTTACCACTAACAGGCAATTCAAAAGGGAGAAGCAGCAGGGTAACCTAACACAACAGACTGTGTCCTGCCTTGTTATGCTCTGTCAAATCAGGTTGCCCTCAGATTTGCCAGAGTTCCATTGCTGCTATCCCCTGGGACGCTCAAAGGCACACTCAGTTAACCCAAGATCATTTACGACTGTGACTGGAACTTGTTTGACTAGGTTGGTTTTTCCCTGTCTCTGTGGATAACAGTGTAAAAACCCAGTGTCAGCCAGCAAAGATATTGCTTTATTACTGTTGAAATTAATCTATATGGAGCTGAGTGCAAAGCAAAACAGACACTGGCTGCATAGCCATCTCAGTGGAGAATGAGCACAGCGTATGTCTGTGGGCTAAATCCTTCGCAGATGTGAAGTGGTGTGGCCCTGTGCCAGTAAACAGCTATCCCAGTTTATGTAAGTAGAGAAGCCCCTGAGGATTTCAGCTTGCTTGCAGCAAAGCTGGTGGCTGTGCTGCTCTACCTGAGGGAAAGAACAGATCCTAGACACCTGGAAATGCTGGTTATTTAAAGGCTGGGCCACTGTGAGCAAGGACTGCCACCACAGTGGGCTTGGTTAATTGTGCTGTCTGGCAGAAAGGCATTGAGTTTGTAGAGACTGAGATACATAGGGGTGGAATGTGCTGTCTTGTGCATAGCCCCAACTGGAGGGTTCCCAGATCCCCCTTTTATGTTTCTATGACAACACCATCCAGCAGCTCTCGAGTGAAAGCCAAAAGCAGCAGCAGGGAGGTAGACACTGCTCAGAGGAGGAGCACCACCACCTTCACTCCCTCTGCTTTTCCAAGGAAAACTGAGGGGATGGCATTGTAGGCTAACACTGTGCTTTGCCTCTCACAAACCTCACTCAGAATCAGGACTCTGCTCTTTTCCAAGAGGCCAGGGCAGCCTTCAGGCTGCGTCAGCCAAGGACACAAATATCTGATCCCAATAGACAACAGAACAAACGTGAATATTCATTTTGTCCCCAGGCGGTGCAGGTTGTCAATCACAGCCTGATCGATACTGGTACGTGCTGCACTAGAAACACCACTGCCATGCCCAGCCTGATGCTGGGGTTTGCCAAGCCAGGAAGAATACCAAGTATCCATAGCTAAATGTGATCAATAGTAAAACAAGAAGAGTGGTTTTACAGGTTACAGTCTTCTAGATTTCATTAACACAAACTTCACCAGTAATGTCCTTATACTTACTCTCCGGATCATTGATAAAAGCATTGGATAATATGCAGCAAGAGTAAATCCTTTTGGACACACTAGGAATTCCTCCATCAGATAATTACTTTTAGATGATGTTACCAAATTTTCCATCCATTTAATATAGGCCACATTGATTTTGTTGAGTGCTGTTTTTAACAGGATGTCATGCAGGATTAAGTCAACTGCTTTGTAGGAGTCTGAATCTATTATGTCAGCAGAATTACCTTTATTAACTGAATTCATAATCTCCTCGAAAGAGTGCTTGTTTGATGAGCAATTTTCTGGAGCAATGGATTGACATTCCATGGCCCATTTGGCTGTGTCCCATATTAGTATGGCATCAGTACTGAACAAAGAGGCTAAAGTTACTTGGGTCGTCCCAGTTACTTTCCTAAGCTGTTTCATTTCACTATTAGTCTCTTTTCAGGCCTTTGAAACTTTCCTTGTGCTCTGTTACTTGCTCAAAAGTCAGCATTAATAGTGCAGAGAGTGTGCTGTGTGCCTGTTATCAGTCCTAAAAAGAGAATAACTTTTAGAAAATGCTGCTTAAAGTTGCTATAATATTGTGCTCATTAGAATAACAAGAACAGTCTGATCTTCAAGTGGAAGAAATGTAGGAAACAAAATGTGTATCTACCATAGCCACTGAGCAGAGCTGTGGATGGTGATGTGCTTTCATTGCTGATGAAGGAATCAATGGGTTGAGCCCCGGGTTTATGTGGTTAGAGCACAGCTTCGGTTCTAACCAGAACGTGCTTCCTGTCACAGGGAGATGCGTGGGGACCGTGAGAGGCTCTGCACCCGCTGCTGCCGCAGCAGCCGCTGGCACCCTGCGGTGGGGCTGGGGACAATCACTTCTCCAGCTCCTCCTGCTCCTGCTCCTCCTCATGCTCTGAGTTAAACAGAATCAACCCTGTCAGTTATGGGTGTTTAAAAACACTCACAGAAGCCTGACTAAACAACGCAATTACAGTGTCAATATTGGCAAACTGTTTCAAAACAAACCCAAACACGTTTGCTTGGCATTAATGGCATTGCCAACAGTTGTGACTTAAAAAGGAACTAACGCCCCTTCAAAGGGGAAAATGTGTGTTTTTCCCCCGGGCTTTCAAGTATAACAAAAGATTGCTTCTTATTCCAGTTAATGCTAACAGGAGGTTTTCCCACACTTCCAGCAGGAGAAATTGAGTTTTTGTCTGTTGACTGTTGGAAATTGAAGCTGTTAAACAAACCCACTGCCACCATTGTAAATAGGAGCTGATCCTGACCAGGAGCTCTGGAGTGTTTGCCTGAGCAGTAAAGCTTTGGCAAAGTGCCTCCAAGAAAAGCTCTCTGTTACTGCCATGCAAGTCTTCCAAGCCCACAAAAAGCCAGCATATTTCTGGGTCCCTTCACCCTCACAGGGCTTTGGTTGAAGTCTTAAGGGATCTCCTGAAGCAGGCACTGTGCAGGCTTCATTCTCCTGCAGGAGCAGTGGGAGCATATGCCCCCAAGCAGTGAGAAGGGATGGGAGTTTACCAAGAGCTCACAAGGAAGCAGAATTCCATGCGCTGCTCGAGCATGTCCAGCTTGCTGTAGACATCACTGAGGTGCCGGGGGCACATGTGAGAGGCAATTAATAACAGCAAGGCTGTTCTTGTCCCCCTGGCTGGTTATCAGACATCATCCATCCTGGAGAGTGCAGCCAGCTCCTCTTCTCCCTTTAGGCCCATTGGGGTCTCAGGGAATTCATGGCTACGGGAAAGCCAAACTGAGACACAGAGCAACCAGCTTGGAGTCCAGGGGGAAGATGAGGGTGTCTGCTGAGCCCTGAGCTCCCACACTGGGGCCAGTGCCAGGGCAAGCTGGGCCAGGCTCCCCTTAGCAGGCAGCATTCAGAGAGCAATGCCAGGGCAGAGGAAGAGGTTGGCATGAGGATGCTGTTACAACATGCACCGGTGTCTGTGCTTGAAACATGCTGAGTTCAAAGGCTTCTCAGGCACTGTGCAAGCAGTCATTGTGCTCTGAGGTGAGAAGTGAGATTTTGCTGAAAAGGAGGTGCTGGCTGTTCAGACACAAAGCATACGTGACATTAGCACAAAGTCAGGACAGTCCCCTCTGGCCCTGCCTTAAAAAATCCCTATCCACCAAGCAGGCCAATGCCAGCACCTATGGTGTCATCTCATCAAACAAACTATGGGGTGGAGGACAAGAGAATTTTAAGTCCCTTATTATTTATTTAATGAAGCGTTTTCAGTCAAGCTTGAAATCTAAAGGAAGCGGATGAGTTCTGCCTCTTTGTTTGCCTCTTCCGAGGCTGAGGAGCATTAATGAAAAGGAAATTCAGGACATCAGAGACACAGGATATATAAATATGCACAAAGCTGGAAAGGCCAAATCCTCAGCTGCTGTGTGCACCCACACATAAAGGAATGTACCTGTGAAAGCTGCTGAAGGCATTCAAGTGTGTTTTCATGCTGTACAAGGAAAAGAGAGGGGTGAGCATGGGGGCTTTGCCCTAGGCAGGAGAAAATAAGCAAAGGGTGTTAGTGCCCAGGTTCTGGGAAGCGGGCTGCATCCAGCTTTACTGCCTACCAACACCTTCTGCCACATTACACCATCAGTGCTCTCACTGCTCCCTTCTCTTGGCTGGATCTGTAACATGTCTATTCATCCTAATATTTCACAGACTCTATCCACAAATCCTTTTTCTGCCACACTTGCTGAAAGAGCATTAGGAGTTAAATGACTGTGGTGGGGGGAAGAGGCAGGAATGGGCTGCACCTGCCCTGGACAAGGATCACTTGTACCTTCCTTCACACCAAAACAGATCAGAAAAAACTACTCAGTTCTACGTCCACAGAACTCTCTTTCCTTGTCCCGTCCTGCTTTCCCTTGCAGGCCACCTTGACAGCAGTATAGAAGATCCCTTTTTGCAGTCCACTGGACAACGGCAAAGTGCTCCAGAACCTGCTGTTTGAGGAAAAGGCAGTGCAGGGGCTGGTGTTTCACTGCAGCCACTGCCAGCGGGAGCAGCCCCGGGGCCGCAATGACCGCAGCGGGGTCCGGCAGCTGCGGGAGGCTGAGTCGCAGCGCTCCCTTTGCACATCAACCCCAGCAGAGGCCACCAGCAGCCCATGGCAGGAGCTGCAGGGAAGCTTCCCTGCTGATTCAGGCAGATTGTGTTCTGGAGGGAGCGCCTCTCTCTTCGGTGTGTCTGGATAGGGAGGACATGGAGGCAGTGCAGGGATGTTCCTGTGTCCTGGCAGTCCCTAAATGATTGGCAACACGTGCTGGTTGATGACTGTATCACAGTTCTATATTACTGCCTTGGCATCTTCCCTTCAGCTTTCTGTGCCTTGCTGCTTTCAAGGGTGTCTCTTCCAAGTGGTGGGAAATGTGACAACAGTTAGAGCTCTTTCATGTT